TTGCTGAAATGTGTTACTCTGTACAACCATTGAAATGGTCTTAAGTTTCACAGAATTGTTAGGATTTCCCTCCAGACTGTTTCCAAGAACATAGCATGGGACCAAGACCTTTGGTGACATCTTGTTCCAATTTGACTGAGGTTGCATTGTAGTCCAGCTTTTTCAAATCATAACCAGCACAGAAATTGCCTCCTACAAAACTCCACAAGAAGAGATTTTGGGATGGGGTGGAAGGCTAGATTATGCAGAGGGGAGCTGGTCATCAATCCACACTCCAAACACAAACACAAACACACACACACACACAAACAGAGAGAGAGAGAGTTTTGTTTAGAATTTGAGCTATACTAGATGTACTCAAATGAATGTTTTTTTCTTTAAGCAATAAGTGTGTGTTTTGTCTAGATTCTTGTCTAGAAGAGATAACTATGAGATGAACATACTGTAACAGGTAAATGTGATGTTTCTCTGCATCAAGGAAACACATGTCTGATTGCTGAGGTCAAACACTGAGAGATAGCTGTCAGCACTGTAACCCATTTATGAGCCCCTAAAAGCATCCATTTAGCCACTCCTAGAAACAGAATATTGAGCAATAGTATTCTTGCCATACATCTTAACCCACTGTAATTCTCTCATGCTTTATGCAATACCACCTTATACTGCCAACACAGGTTCTGGACAACGTAAGTAACCAAGCCATAGCAAACCCAAGTGTACCACTATATGGAGAAATTGTGTGGGCCCTCAAGGAGATGCAACAAATGTGATTAACCCATGACAGGCTGATTTCTGTCAGGAGTGACAGAGCCTGATTTATTTTGATGCAGGGAGATCAGCCATTCCAGAGGTTAGGCATCTTATTTTCAGAGTCGAGACCATACTTCCCGAACTCGAAGCCCATGTACTAGGTTACAACTCCCATAATCCCTGACTATTGAGCATGCTGCTGGAGAGAATGTGTGTTGCAAAGTAACAAATGTGGAAGTCACTACATCGGGAAAAGCAAGTCTAGCTGCAAAAATGTCTTACAAATGCTTCCTCCTTCTCAGCCACCTTTGCAGCCAGAAGAATCCTCTAAGTGACACACAAAACACCATTAAAAAAAGAACTCTCAGTCTCACTATCATCAGTTTTCTAAACGTCCCCTGCTATTAGTGCAAAACCATACATTTCCACAGGCTTTAAGTGAGGTTTCAATCCAATTCCAATTCCTTCGTGTCTTCTTTCTTATTCCACTTTGAGTCCCAATCACTACATTTCAGTTCACAGGCCACAATCCTGTTGCTTAGTACTGTATAGTAAATTGCAGTAGATTAGGCCCACTGAATGGAGATTTAGTGAGTTCTCCTCCATAGATCCCATTGATTCAAATGGACCTGCTCTAATTGTAACTTACTTTAGCACAGTAAGTCATAATTAGGGTTGGCCCTTTTGAATCAAGCAGCTGAATTACTAAACCCCCACTGATTCAGTGGGCCCATCCTAGTGCGATTTACTATGCTATGCAACAGGATTTTGGCCACAGTATACTTTGGCCCAGAGCTAACATATGGTCATGGAAATGAACAGATCTTCAGTGTGCCTCACTACTCTTCACTCCGTATAGTCTCTATGAGACAGCTTTAGTCATGTGACAACATTTTTCCTTGTGGAAGCTGCACCACATTCTATAATGTTTTTTCCTGTACAGTTGGAATGTGCGAGAACATTCCATAACATAAGAGTACCTCAGCTGATCAGGTTCAAAGGCCTCATAAACCACAGTGTAAGGAGTATAGAAGAATTCTGCCAGTGTATGAAAGAAATATATATAAGTGGAATTTTGCCAGTTGTGGTTTTTGCTATTAATACATCATTGTGTCCTAGGCAAGAAGGGGTCAGTTACATATTAATCCAAATCAAGCAGCCAGTTCCATGGTATCAAACCTGATATTATGAAATCATCAGTTTTACAATGTGAATCCTGACTGGCTTGCATCACATCATGAAGGGTAAAGAAGTTAGGCTTTTAATCTCCAGTCTAGTACTATTATGTTACATCTCAGCAAAACCTGAGAGCTAGATAGGAGAAGAGATGCAACCAATTCTTTTAGAATGGCATTTTAATAGCTTCAAAACAAAACCTCAACAAGGACACATTGGTTTTTGGTTTTTTGTTAAAGAATTGTTTTAACCACAACTTAAGAATTATTTTCAAAGGATAATGGTTTATATACCAGGCAGTATATCCTCCATGTCATGCCTTATCAACAAAACCATGTCTCCTTTCCTCTTCTATGGCAGAAGCAGTTAATTTAGGCCTTCTCTTGTGTGGCTAAGGAATCATTACTTTTGTGTGCACTGGAAGCAGAAGAAAGAAGTGCTGTTGACTGTACCACCATGCTGAAAACCAAAACACTGTTGCCCACAATATTTACTTTAATATTAAGCTCTGCAACCGTACAGAGATCAGCTCACTGACTCTTTCAGTGCATAAAAGGCCACAAAGCAGACACCAGCCAGATATGCATTTAACAGATGGGATCACTATTCTGGGATCAAGCCCCAACACTATAATTTTCCTCAATCAAATCAGTGTTCTATAAATAACTTTATATATACACATCCTGAGGTAGGGAGTGGGGGACAAAGCCTTTAAAAAACTTAATCTACCTCTTTCTCATTTTAAAGTTTCCAACTGTAATCTCTATCCTTTCCCCTCAGACAACCAATAACGCAACTGTTTTCCATATCAACAGAATCTTGTTCTTCCTGTCTCAACAAAGTAAACAGTAATTATAAAGCATAATAGTAAAGTAGATTATGCACTGGTAGAGAAGGGGAAAGAGAAAGCTAGTTCTATTTTCCTTTTTCAAAAAAGTTCATTATGCTGTCATGCAAAGGCTGCAAGTATCACCTCATTGCTTAAACATGTGAATTATGCTCTTATCTCCAGAGCCAATTTCCTTTGGGTTGTGCCAAACGGATTGACCATTCCAGTGTTCCTGTTTCAAGAAGTACTTTCCAAGAGTCTAGAAATATTCCATCACTATCCTCAAACCAACCCCTCCCACCAAGAGAATTCACATTTTTCCAGTCAGATCTTGTTCCTCTAATTTGCTGCTGCTGCTGCCAATCCCCACGACCACAGCCCCTTGTTTAAAAGCATGTACAGTATTTGCTCTTTGTGGTGTGATCTAAAGTTCTAAACCAAACACATCCCATATTGCAAAACTGCTATGATGATATAACACAGTCAACTAGATGTTTTGTTATCACTAAAGGTAAACAAGGCTAACTTAGAATGAAGGCTATGCTTTCTCAATGGAACACAAGGAAAAGGGCTATGGCTGAGTGGCAGAGTGTGTGCTTTATGTGCAAAAGGTCCCGGGCTCAGTCCCTGGCATCCCCACAAAAGTCTAGTCTGGGCCACAGCCAGCTGGAATAAATCAGCAACAAGGAGCCTGGTGGCCCTCAAGATCTTGTTGAACTAAAAGCCCCATTGTTCATCAACGCTGGCAGTACTAGGGCTGAAGGCAGTTGCAATCTTATATCTGGAGGGCTAAACATTTCCTATTCCTGGTCTAGCCAACGCTAAGCCAGAAAGGCCAATGGTCTGACTTGACAGAAGGCAGGTTCCTGTGTTAATATCACCTTTGCTAATCAGTACTGGTATAATACTTATACTAGATCAGCCAAAAAGACACACAAGATACTGATACTGATATAAGATGCTTTCAAGAACATAAGACAATATGTTCCAAAAGGGGAGAGGGGGGAAGAGAGAAAAGTGAAGAGGCGTTTTGATCTCAAGTCCCTTGTAGCCACCTTGAGATCTCATGGAAGAGGAAGGCTAAGCAGGCAATCAAACGGTAGCTTTATCAGGCAAGGAAATGACAGTATCCCACGACATACTGAAAGCTAGAAGGGTACAAATATTTCATCTTACATCTTAGCCTACAAACCCCAATAGTAAACTCAAAGTTGTTTCCACATTGTTTGAGCTTGCGGGATAGTTGATGAAAACAGAGACAAATCTGGAAAGTTTTATATTATCAGGGCTAGAGAAATAATGCACCTCATAGGCATTTTTACCACATCTACACCAACAATATTTCCCAGTGTAGGCATTTATCTGAGCACTGTAATTCACATAACACATAGAACCCAGTCTGGACTCAGGCACCAAAAATCTGTGACATTTCCTGTGATGTGTGATTACTGACATACAAGTCATGCCCACAAAAACCTGCTTCTGATGATTACATGGTGATATGTGTTTCATAAAACTGCAACAATGGAAACAGAAACTGCATGGTCACAGTGCTATGTGTATGTACAGGTGCCAATATGATACAAGGAAAGTAATAATTTAGAATGGATTATCACATGGGGAGAAAAGCTGGCAAAAACGGGTAACTGATCAGAATCCAACTACAGTGGGGTCTCTACTTAAGAACTTAATCCGTACTGGAAGGTGGTTCTCAAGTGGAAAAGTTCTTATGTAGAATCTGCATTTCCCATAGGAATGCATTGAAAACCATTTAATCCGTATCTGCTCTTTTCCGTCCATAGAAACTAATGGGAAGCTGCTATTCCGCCTTCTGCCACTAGAGGGGGATATTTTTTCTTAGGTCAGGGAACAGTGTTAAAAGCACTTCTGACGAAGCTAATTTTGAAGCAATGGACTGAAAACCAATTAATCCGTTCTGGCTGTTTTTTTGTTATGTAGAGGTGCGTTCGTACATTGAAGCATTAGTTCCCATAGGAACTAATGCAAAGCTGGTTAATACGTACTCCACCACTAGGGGGAGAATTTTTTTTAACCTAAGATGACCTAAGGTTAAAAAAAGAGCAGGAAAGGTTTTTTTTCCTGTTCTTATCTAGGATTTCTGTTCTCAAGTAGAAGCAAAATTTAGCAAACAGAGCTGTTCTTAAGTAGAATTGTTCTTAAGTAGGGACGTTCTTAAGTAGAGACCCCACTGTATGGGCTTTGTAAAGCTGTTTGTTTCTTGTTTTGTTTTTTGGTGTCGCCACTTTTTGTTTGGTTGGTTGATTTTATTCGGGTTGCATTGACTTTTTTTCTATAAGCATTAGAGAACAATAATGCTTTGTAAGATCTGGGAACCATTAACAGTAGTCAAATTAATTAAGGATTAAAATGTAATTCACATGCAGAAACCATAGTCACTTGCATGATGAGTACGATTCCAACCTCCGAACTCCAACCAAGATCTTAGAAACTTAGCATGAATGATGTCCTTTGTTTTCTTAGGAAGAAAGTATGGACAAGGAGGATGCTGTACCTCAGGAATCTCAGAATCCTGGAACTGGTGCTGCCCTCATCAACAGCCTCATCATTTAATGAACATCCACATAGAGCTTTCTGTCAAAAAAGGCATAAGTAAATACCCGTGTAAATTAGGACCAAGCTTCCGGTGTTTCTCTCCTCCAAAGAAATTCCTACCATACATGTTCCCATGCTTTCTTGAGAGTTCAATCTATCCCACTGGGATTTCCCAAAATGTCTTGGTCCCTATTCCAGGACACTACATTTTGATAGTTCCCCCACTGTAAAATGTCAAAATGGATCTCTGGCAAGGTTCCCTCTAGGACATGCATGTGACTCTGATTCCCTCCGCGCAGCTTTCTTCCTACTCTGTGCAGCGATTGTGTTCAATTCCTTTGGGTCCAGTCATGACAGAATCCTGCGCGCAGTGGGGCACAGTTGCATGTGCACAAAGGGGTGAAGTTGAGAGAAAGGTGGAGCCCCACCCAGCAAGGCTGAAAATTAAATCTCCGGAGATTTAGGGCGTGACTACAGTCAAATGCCACTGGATTTGCTCTAGTTTCAAAATTGATGAATAAAAAAAAAGATCACATAATACAAAAATCAGTCCAGCCCTTCTTGCAACTGATGCTGATTTTTCTCTGTCACTGAGGGCTCTACTTTTTTCAAGCCAGAACAATTAGAATGAGCTTTTCCCTGTGTGATCAATTGTTTCATTCTTCAAAATGATGGAGGGGGGCATGTCTGTGGGTGTTGTTATGATTATGTAGGCAGCTGAGATATGATGTTTAGGGACTGCAAGAACCACCCTTTCCCATTATCTCTCCCCTGACTGTCCCCATTATTTTTTGAATAAACAAATTTACTGCTGAGTCGTTGCATTGATACACTGATATACTAGTTTAGCACCAGATCACCTCTGCACAGAAATAAAAAGTTATAAACAATTGCTATGAAATAGAAACAACCCTGATAAATTACAGAAGACAGAATGTACTTCGATGTGTGTACAGTGGCTCCCAATCAATCTGCACCCCGTGTGATCACTTACTGTGAACTGAAATGGAAGATCAAATTGCAGCAAAGCTGAATTGCTCCGATTCAGATTGCTAGTGTACTTGCAGCCTTAGTTACTGGTAGTAATTGCTTTAAGTTTTAAAATGCTAGCACTTTTGAATTTTGGTCGTCCCCACATCCAAGCACTTCAAGACTGAACTTGGCTTTTGGGGTTGAGACCAAATTACTTTGCCCACCCTCACCATGCAGCAAAAAAAAACTGGATTTACCACCAAGGAAGCATCCAGTGGTTGTAGCCAACTTCAATTTTCTGACACATATGCATATATAAAACATACAGTCCCAGACTCATATGTGTCTCAATGGCTGAACTACAGTACTTATAATGCTCTTTTTAATTTTTACAACTTTAATGTAAAATACATATCAAGCATCAGAGTCTTAAGAAAGAAGGAAAGCTATGTCATCTTGTATTTATGTATAGCTATATTGTATCAGTACAGTTTTGTGTTGCTGTTGATATTGTGGTGACCTGTGGTTTTATTGATTGATTGATTGATTGATTGATTGATTGATTGATTGATTGATTGATTTGATTTGATTTGATTTGATTTGATTTGATTTGTATCCTGCCCATCTGGTCTGTTCCAAATTTTAATGTTAACAAAATAAACCTTACTTTAAGCAGGACACAAAGAAATCATGCAGTCATAGACAACTGCTAGCATAAGCATCAGAACTTCCCTTAGATATGTAAGATAGGTTATTTCCAATATCCTAGTCCTTTGCCTCCATTTCTGCCCTTTTTTCCTGTGCACTGAAAAATGCAGTATTTTTTTTTTTGCTTTAAAGTAAAATGTTATGATTTAAGCAATACACCAGAAAGCAAGGGAATTCAGACCACAGACCAATCCTTCTCCATACTTAACTCAAAATATGGGTGCATTCATGAATCTTTCCTGGGCCCTGACTTCTGCCTTAAGTAAACACACTAACTAAATGCAACAATTTGCTAAGAGAAGGGAAAAATTCTAATAAACTGGACCACTAAAGATTGAATAAACTATGGATAACACTGCAATGGAAGTCTGCTGTCTATAGATGTTGACACTATGAAAGCCCGATTTTCATTTCAGTTCTTCCTGGAATGGAATAGTTAGTGGGATTACACTATACCATTTACTTGGCTTGGATGTGTGATACAATAGTACGTCAGTGTGTACATGTTCTGAGTGAAGAGTGAGTGAGACAGGAGTGATGTGTGGTCTGCATTTCCCTATTTCGGAAGGGCACACCTTCAACCACAACCTCTTGCTTCAAATATTTGAAAACTTGTTTTCTTTCGGGAATCTCCCTGCCTTTTGAAACACAGGAACATGTAGACATTCATTGTTGATCAAAGAAGTTCTATCTTTTCTGAACAATTTAATGTAGAACATTAAAAAGAACCCAACTGATAGTAAAAATCAATAGTGAATAGCAACATAACATATTAAAATTACAGTGCACAACAGAGGAGAGGCTATGGAATCAGACCAGCTCCATTAAACATACAGTGTTACTCAGAGGGGTGGGAAGAAAACCACACAGCCACTCATAACAGCCACTATATAACATCTACTTGGATAAAATACAAAAGCAGACTTCAGCCTTTCAGAAAGTGGCAGGATTGCAGCATCAGTGAATAACAGAAATAACTTTAAAAGAACAGTCTCTACCATTCCTTTCTACAGATGAGATAACAATCACTGTACAGTGATTGTACAGCCACTCAATAACTCCATTCTTATGTGTATGTATAAAAATTATTTCTGGTAGTGCTCAAGAATTCTAAGTTATGAAGTGGTTCTGCTGCAAACAACAGTAGCAGAACGAAACATGTAAGACTCTCACCCAGTCCACGAAGCACTGCCACTGTAAGGGAGGTATCTTCTTCACATGACCTGAAAGACTGCAGCAGCAACTGTGTTGTCTCCTGACTTCTGGCCTATTAATGCCAACTGTCACTATAGTTCCATGGATTTCAGTAATTACTTTCCTTTTCCCTGTGATAACAGAAAAAATCAAACACCAGTCTTGATATAAACTTTTTTAAAAAAAATCATCCAATAATATATCCAACACTAATGAATTGCTGAAATGATTAGCATGTAGGACTGAGGACAATAATCTGTTTAAACTATAAATTGAGGTTAAGCCAGCATCTTCCAGAGCTAGGAAAATTTACCTTTTGGTCAACCATACCAAGGATTTCATAATCTGCATGTCTAGATTTTAGGAGATGTTCTTTCATAAAGTTCCTTTTGCAAAATAAAGTTATGATTAGTAACTAAGTGGATTTGACTTAAACCAAATTGATTTGAATCAAGAACAGTCTCCTCCACTCATTACAATTGAAATAACTACTCAGGAAGCCTCGATTTATTCAAGTGATCCCAAATGCATTCCTGGCTTGCTATAACCTTAACACATACTGCATTTTTCACAATCTACCTGCCCATTTTGACTTCACCTCCAATAAGCCTCTTTGCATTTTCATATACTGAGTAATGGATGTGAGAGGTCCATGAAAAAATGGACTATTAGATGTACAGTCAATATGGGCAACAAGATTCTGAAAAATATGTATTAAGGTTATGCAAGCTGGAATGTATGGGGGGGAACCATATAATTAAACCCACTCCATTCTCCATCAAAGTACATTTAATTGTGCCCATACAAAGTTGCAGAGTTGTCCTCTAAAAGGAACTAACATCATTCAGGAGAACTACTGATTTCAGAAGATTATAAAAGATTTGCAAGAATTTCCAACATTTTACACCAATATATGGGGGTGGGGACTTCAGGGATAACTTCAATCACAGCTGGAAAATAAGACTGATTTGGTTTGTTGTTCTTCATTCCCACAGATTATTGTTAACAAGTATATATCTTTTAAATACAAAACCAGTTTGAGAAATGCCAGTTTTTCTGACATCTATTAGGCTATGATATAAAGATAGATCTAAATAATCCATATAGAAGCATGTGGAACTGCATAAAATTGAGGTCCTGGTCAAAGAACTGATGGAGCTATTTGTACAATTTCTTTTTAAAACATTGTATGACAACATATTCTTGTAATATAGAATTAGAGTTGTAATTATTCTTATTCCATTGTGAAATCCGTGAGCTATACACATTTTAAATTAAAACTATGATTACATGGGCCTTTTTAAAGAAACAAAATTAATAAGAACAATATCCATTCTGACTGACAATGCCATTGCAATTCTCTTTAACTCTTACAATTTTAATTTGAGATGGGGGCAAAAAAACAAAAAAGGTTGGGGAGGGTATTTTAAAAAATTTTAGACAGTCTTTCTAGTTCCAGGTAGTACAATCCAGACTCAAAGATATGTTGGCTGTCAGGGTTTGGAATGGGGCAACACCCTTGTATTGGCTGATCACAGATGTGCTACTATAACTGGAACTCCCAGCACAGCTGCTGTGCTGAAACATTTTGGCAAAAGAGCCAAAAAAAAGGGGGGGCAGAGGAGAACAGCAGCTGAATTACACCAGATCTACACCCCTTTCAGCCCAACTCACAGCCAATGTGACAGTACAAAATTAGCCCAGGATTAGGATTGTGCTAAGTAATCTCCAACATCCCTAAACTGGAAGGATTTTGAATTTGGCACAACCTTATCTATCGCAGCCCACCCCAATCCTTCTTGATTAGTTAGAATTATACCCTTAAATGGATCCCCCCCCCACATAAAGGAACTAAAAAGAAACAAGAAATGCAATGAGTAATGGAAACCAGCACACTGAGCAATAAATAATGTGGTTTAAAAAAAAAAACCAACTCGAACTCTCCAAGCTGTTTTTACCATTTCTTGACAAGCACAGCTAATTGCCTGGACTGGGTTCAGTTTATTTGGAACTGACCATTGTCTTCTATCCTTAAAAACAACAATCAGAGGGGAAATTTGCTTTGGATACAAGCAATAAAATGAAGAAACACTAGGCATTTCCTGGTAATTAATAATAATGAACAGCTGTTAAAAATTGGGGTGAGGCACAGCAAACAATTACAAACATACAAGATGTGTTTGGTGTAAATTATATTTTTAAAACAGTTTTTAAATTTTGGGCGCAGCTTTGCTCTCAAACCATCACAGTGGAAGACGGCCAGGAGTAGCTTGCTCTCCTTGCTGTGGTGCTCTTCTCAATCCATGGTAAACTCTCAGGATTTAACTAATATTGTCTTTACTTAGATTGGAAGGCAGTGGTGGTTATGTGAAAAAAGAAAGAAAGAATGGGAATTAATATTTAAAGAAATATCTGAAATAATTGGATTGAATATTCAAATGCCTCCGTTAATAGCCTTACTGAATCTGATTAAGGAAGATCAACTGGTGAAAGAAAATAAGGAGTTAATAGTAATGATGATTATGGCAGCAAGGATAATTATTGCAAGGAACTGGAGAAATGAAAATCAAGTTAACATGGAGGAATGATATAGAGAATTATGGGATACTGCAATTAATTACAAACTGGCATGTGATATGAAAATAAGTAGAGGCCAAATGAAAAATAACAATTTTAAGAAAATTTGGAATGTATTTTTAGAACATGTATTTCGGAGAGGGAGGGGGTATACGCCGAGAGAAGAAACAATGAAATTTTGGAGTGAAAATGGATGGAAAGAAGTGTAATGCTAGTCCTGAAGGTGATGGGTGCACAAGGGTAATTGTACGTTATTGTCTTGTTTTGTACCTTATATAGGGTTTTTTTCTGTAGTAGTAGGTATTTTATAATTTAAAAAATTATTTAAAAAATGATTGGAAGGCAAAGCACACAGTTTTGCTTTGACAGGGCTTGGAAAAAGTCACCTTAGGAGGGGGCTAAAACTCACATGTTCCTTCAGCCAATATAGTGGCCGTGCTAACTAGTGGCCTCTGGGAGCTTTAATTCCCAAAAATGATATTTGCAAATTCTGTACTTTCATTGGATCATATTTTTAAACGGCACTCCTGCACCTATTTTCCTTTAGAGATGTATGCATGCATATGCCACATATGATGATAGCAGCTTCCATATGATCTCACAAACTGAAAAGAAGCCCAAATTCCACTTTATCTCACAAAGAATCAGAAAAGAACTCATGTTTCCCGGTTCCAGACAAGGATATACAGGAAGGACTCATACTTCAGACCAGAAATCCAGATACAGGTCTCAGCTTAATGGACTATAACAGTTCTCCAGACCTTGGAAGCTCTTTCCAAACCAAATTAACATTTCAGCAAGTTAAAACCCTTGAGTTACATTCAAAGCACAAGACAGTGTCAGCAAAAAACAAAAACAAACTTCAGTTCGCTGTCTCTGCCACACTGCCTTGGGAAGAAAGTCAAAGAAAACTGGCTAGAAAAAGCTTGTCCTGATTTCCTACTCCTGCCGTAGCCCCTACCCCAGTCTTTCCTAAGAGACGGGTCCCACCACGACCAAATGGTTCTCAAGATATGATTTTGAAAGAGGTGCAGAATTCTCCATCTGTAATAATCCTTGTCCACCTTTGCAATGTAATTATGTTACTACATTTAATATGTTTGGCTAGTATCCTATTGCTAATTTACACTTGCATAAGGGAAATCATATAAATCTTTGCAGCAAATTGCCAATTAGGTGTATGCCTGAAAACACAAACAGCACCTGATTAATGAGCAGTAATTTGCCACCAACATTTATGCAGCTTCTCTTAAACAAGCATATATTGGCCATTGAAACTGAAATTGGATGCTCAAAATTTTCTTGCCTTTAGTCCATGATTCAGCGTTGCTCTCACCCAAAGACTGCTAATATGAAAATAATTTAGTTGCCCTTCCACTACTGACTTTTGACAATTACGAAACAACCCTTTTTTCTTTGGAAAACAATAGAAAATATTTCACGTGATTAATGAATTAAAGCCAATTCTTATTCTTAATGCCAAATAAAACAATATGTTGGGGACCACAAACAGTGCAAGATGCATAATGAATTTATTTTATTCTCTCCTTCTTTAAATAAGAAAAAAGAAAACCAGACTTGGTACACACAATTTTACTATTTATTTGCTGATGTTCAAGTACAAGAGGAAAAGCAGCATAAGGGTAATGAACCCGTTTATAATCAGTCTTTGTTAGCTATGAAGAATAAGGTCACATGTGTCAGTAAAAGAGACCTCTGACTCCAAAACAAACAAACAAAAAGAAGAGAAAACACACAACATCGAATTAGGATATCAATTCTTGAGAAGGTTGCCTTTCATGGTTATAAGGCAACATGATTCTCTATTCTCAAGGTTGTAGGCAACAATTTTAGGTTACTCACTGAGCTTCACAGATTAGTCATTTTACCTCCACACCATATGCACTTGCATAGCAGGCAGACCATGGTTCAGATCCTTGATGAGCCATAAGTTTATTGCGTAGTTTTAATTAAGCAAGTTGCTTTCTCATATTAATCCCTGTCAGAAAAATCTATTAAAATTGCATACTACACAGTAATTGTCTCTTATAATTGACTTATAAAAGTTCTATAACACACTTTATGCATTTTAATTAATATTGATTAAAAATATCAACCTAGCATATGATCAAAATCTCGTCGTCTTGTCCTACTGAAAATAAGCATCCATGACTATTCACAGAATTTGTCCACTGCATTTTTAAAGTATGACTACAGTGTTAGTAAATCAGAAGGGGAGGATGAAGATAAGATGTCACTGGTAGACTTTAAAACAGTGGCCAAACTCTTACTGGATATCTCCATGTGCAAAAAAGGCACCACATAAGTTGCTATGTCTAATTGACGAAGTGCTGACCACATTTGATCACACGCCCAAACACACCCAGTATCTTGTCAATTAGTCCAGGCAACATCCACAATTCCTCTTGTGTTTATGTAAATATCCAATAGGACTTTGGCCAGTGTTTATATTAACTGTCCAAGACTATTAAATTTGAGTAGCTTTGACTGGTGATATATAAACAGATGTGTAATGCTTTTTCTACCAGTGTATTTTAAAGGGAACATCTGCACTGAAACTATTTATCACACAGCTGTTCAAAGTCATAAGAATTTGGGGGGGGGGATGGCATCTCAGCTGTTAGTTGATTCACACAAGTCACATGCACAACAGTTCCCCCCAAACTACACTACAATTCTCAGTAAACTGAGATCCAATACATAACCTCCAGGTCCTTAATAATGATTTTTCTTAGCCTATTTACTGACATTGCAGCACACAATTATCCTGTGCTGGTGGAGTAAATCAATATTATATAAGACAATTCTAAAAATTGGGCAAGCCCAAACAAAAAATTACAAATTTTAAACTGAGATTCAGATCAACACCAAATTTGGAACATTTATAACAGACAATCTGCTCTTGCTCTATGCCAAAGTTGATGAAGTTTGGGCAAAGGGGTTTTGAATTATGATTTTATTTAAAGTTGGGCAAAGGGGTTTTGAGTTATGATTTTATTTAAGCTACACTTATATCTTGAATTGCACAAGTTTGAACAGCTTGGTTATGGTTATACATGGACTTATTTCAACCAACCAATTAATCAATACTGTGCCCCTGGCCTCCAGAACCCCATGAATTTAACACTGAAGTTGACGCCTTCAAATTGTCTACTTTTCCCCAAGCACAACATTTCTAATTCAGTCTCTAGATCAAGGGGTCATAAAGATCTTTATTACATGCAGTACTGTATGGAAACTACTGTCAGAAGGGAAACCTGATAGAGAGAAGTGTTGTGTGTGTCCATGAATCAACTTTTTATGCTTTGTAATTATTGGGGGGAGGGCATAAGAGCTATACATGAATTTTGAACTATATGGAGGTCCTGAGCCCGAGCCCATAGTTGTTGATGGGAAAAATGTAAAACTGTTCCCCCCATTCAGAAATAGCCGACCTTAAATGTCCCCAGATTTAAAACACATAACATAAACTGAAAAGACATATCTTGCTTATTTTGAAAGAGAATGCTTGGCCCCACCTGCCTTTTTTTTTTAATTAGGAAAGAATCCAGGCTGCAGGGGCTAAAACAAAGAGAATGGTTGGCCCCACCTGCCTTTTTTTAATTAGGAAATAATCCAGGCTGCAGGGGCTAAAATGTTGATCCTCAAAAAGGGCATTCAAAAGAGGAAAACAGCTATTTCATTTTAAGACTGAGCATGTGTTGTACATGCTAGCCAGCAGGAGCCTTCCTAAATGAAATCGTATATGTATTCATAGGTGGAGGGGAGGGAGATATTTAGTGAGAAAGATCACAGAAACAGGCTGAAAAGACAGGTTTTCTTTAAAGAGTAAAAACATCAGCTTTGGTTTAAAGAAAGTAATGGAGTGAGAGTCCTTCAGAAAGAGAGACATTTTGTCAAGCACCTTCAGTAAACATTCTCTCAGGATTTCTGAGACCAAAAAAGTCTTCTCAAGTACCTTTTCAATGGGCAAATCAGCTCCACCGCTGGGACAAACTGAACTTTTGACCCTACGTCAGAACCCAGTTAGCTGACTCTTAGCTAACCTTTTAACTCCTACCTAGCCAAACAGGTTTATCAGACTCATGCTTGCAAGGGGATTCTGTTTCTGCTTGTAAAAATGGAGACAAAAAATTTCTTTAAAAAAATACAGATATCAAATTTAAAAAATGTATTTAAAAAGAAAACAATAAATATTGAGAAACGTGCTCGTTTAACCGCAAGGGGATTCTGTGTCTGCTTGTAAAAATGGAGACAAAAAAAGATTCCTTTAAAAAAATACAGATATAAATTTTTTTAAAACATGTATTTAAAAAGAAAACAGAATAAATATTGAAAAACTTGCTTGTTTAAGCTGTGAAATTACTGGTTTTTGCTTTGTGACTAGGAATGGCCTTGCTTGATGTTAGTGGAGCTTTGGTGCCTATATCCTGTTATAGTCTCCTGTCAAAGTATCCATTCCACCCATCTTGTCATTATACAATTGCTTGATGACTAAAACAAGACTCCAAATATGCTCTGTGCCATCAAGTCACTTCTAATGTGTGATGACCATATCAGTCAATTACTGTACATCCATAATATCCTATTATTAACAACTCTGCTCAGACATTGCAGACCAACAGAATCTCATGTTAGTTTATTCTCTCTTCCTACTGCCTCCTCCCCAGCAATATTGTCTTTTCTAGTAAGTTCTGCTCAGGTCTTGCAGACTGACAGCTGTTGGTTCCTTTGTTGAGTCAACCCCATCTCACAAGAGGGTATCCTGTAGACCATCATGACTGCTGACATGGGTGTCATCAACATTCAAGCTGCCCTTTGCTTTGTAAAGTTTGGCACTCTTTTTCCTGCTTGGCAACAAAGGCACAATATTGTGCAGCAATATCAGGCCATTTCCTGGTGTTTTGAATCATAGGTACAAAACCACAATATATCACATTCAAAAACCAAAGTTTTTTTTTAAAGAGTTGGATGTTTCATTGTGCTTCGTACAAGAGAAAAACAGCAGGTGCAGCATATGCCCATTGTGGATAAACACAGATTTAGGGCTCTACCAAGCAGGACCAGTTTCCACTGCCTCTTACCCCCACCCCTTTTTTGTCCCCCAAGGATCCACTTGCCCTCGAAGTGTGCATTTTTCCAGTACCTGTGTCCATAAAGGGATTCAGATGCAGAAGAGAACTAGGCGGGAAAGGATTCTCTCATCATTCCCAGTGCTATCCCAATCTGTTTTGGAAACCAGGCAGGCAAGGTAAATCTTTAAACATGCACACATATAATTTCTAAAGTGAACAACAGGGAGAGGGGAGGTCAGGCTACTCTCTAACCACCAAGGACACTCATATCTTGTGCTTCCTTTGCTGATCTTAGCTTTGCCACTGGGCTGAATAGAATTTTTTTGAAAAGCAGAGTTTATTTTTACTTGATTGGGCATGTGTCATAGCACAAACCCCCTCCACTTTGGGAGGCAGGCAGAGACAACACAGTGATAGCCTCAGACTGGAAAGGAAGTGTGTGCTCTGGCAAGAGGGAAAGAAAACAGAAAGAAGAAGAAAATGAGGGAGGGAGGCCAGACTGGAGGACAAAGGAAAGGAAAGTTGACAGCTGCCTTGACTTGCACTCTTCCACCATCTCAGGGAACAAACGAATCTTTGACAACTCTTGGATTTCCAGGTGCTTTGGACTACACCTCCCACACACAAACCCCACAGGCCATAATGGCTCGGGTTGCTGAGAGCTGTAGCCGAAAACACCAGGAGGCGCACACCTTTATTCCTCACCTTCCCATTAACAGCAGTTGACAGGGAAACGCTAGACCCGCAGAGCCGCTTGCCCGATTTTCCAACCCTCCTTACAGCGCTGGCGCGCGGCCTGCAGGGGTCGCTGTGAGGCAGCAAACGTGTCAACCCCAACAATAATCCGAATCAAGGAGCTGCGTGGCTGACAGCCGCCTTTCCTTTCCTTTCCTTTTCGACAGACACGCGAGCAGCGGGCGTTTGTTCACGACTTGCGCCAAGGGACGCCTGGTGAAAGGCTCCTCGCTGCCCCAGGGCGGGGAAGTCACGGGGAGGAATCCCGAATTACAAACCTTCTCTGTCAAGGCTCTCCAGCTCTCGGAAGAAACCGAGTGGGCCTGCAAAGGGAGGGCAGTCTGAAGCCGCTGGCGGGGACCTGCAGGAGCTTCTGAGGAGAGGACACGAGGCCTTGTCCAGCAAGCGCCTGAACTTTGCAAGCGCCCAGGCAGAAGTTCCACAGGGCTGACAGCTGGGCGTGAACCCCGCCGAGCCCACTCTCGCGACTGCGCCGACGTCAAACCGGATCAACTTGTTGACCTCCGCGTCGAGTAATCCTTGTGGAATCCTAGCGCCCCCTTGCAGTCGGTGCCCAGCAAAGTGCGGCCTTCAAGTGTCGCCTCCGTTGCCGCGACTACCGACATACACACGTTCAAGAGGGAACGAGGGTCATCTGGCCTGTTTGTCCTGGACTGCCGTTCCTTAAAGCCTGTGCCGAATGAAATGTGTCAAGAAACTAACACGTTTTGTTTGGCATGTGCTTTCATGAACTGTGCCGCCGGACTTATTGCACCACAAGAATCCCTTGTTTGGGGAAGAAAAGTGACTAATTGACATATATTGCAAATTTGCGGGGGGGAAACAAGATGGTCTGTGTGGGGGAAAAAAAGTCATAGCTGGGCAATATTTTTATGACAATCAGCCATGATGTCCTCAAAGAATATGCAAAGGTTTTAAATTCTCCAGAATCCTGCAAAGACAGTGCCACCAAAAATGAACACCTTTGACTAGAATACAAAACTCAAGAACAAAAATAAGCTAGCTGATGTCACAACCTCTGCAGCTTAGACTCAACTCTCAAGGTGAAAACTGCAACCCAAATGAGTGTGCCATGCTTGAAACACTGGTTGATCAGATCCAAACTCCCTGGGTTCCTTTTTCCTCTTTGTTATCTTCTCCTTTTTTGCATTAATTTACATTTTATTTTAATCAATTTACATTTATCATACAGTTTATAGACCATCCCAGCCCACTTTCAGTTTCTAAGGTCATCCTGGAAAGCCTTTCCTTGACAAAAGTTTCTGCTAGTTTTAGCATCCAAGCCATGTTTGAAACCATGTTTAGCAAGCATGTTTGTAGGTTGTGAAGATGCTGATGTAGATGTGACACATTATGGTTCAAGACTGAAAAGGATGTAGAAGGCCCAAATGAGGAGTGAGTAAGTGAGTAGCTCAATGTGGTACTCTCATTTGCCTAACAAAGTTTTAGTAATACGTACAGCAACATTATGTCTGCAAAGTTACTAATAATGTGAACTTAGACTAGCTCACAGCTTCACTAAGCTTGACACTGTCACTGTATTAATCAGAAAATTAGTCCCACTTTTACATAGCAACACCTACAATCTTTGTAAACTCTTCTTGAAACAACTAGAATTTTCTCATGAATAATGATTTACTTAAAGTACGTAGTATTTATCACATTAGAAACTTAAATCAGGTAAAAGACCATCTTCCATGTAAAGGGGAGATAAAAGTTTGTTTATATTTATTTATTTATTTAACTTATATGCCACCCACACTACCCGAAGGTCTCTGGGTGGCTTACAGCATTGTGAGAAAAGATGGATATTTGTTAAAATGGGGCCCACTAGAAAAAAGTAGATTTTTTAAATGTCCCTTAAATCTTTTATGATTTATCAGTTGTTCCTAAGAGAAGTCAGCACTTTTTAATTCCCAATTCCCGAACATTTTAGTTTCTGTGCTTGCTTTTTTCCCCTGATGATATATTTCCACTGACTTTCTCAAACAATTCTCTGTCATCTTTACATTTAGAATTTGATATTCCAGCACGGCATGCAACTTTGGGCCAGTTAGAAGCCAGGATGGTGCGGATCAGTTCAGAGTTCACCTTTATGGACAGAACAACACAGCAGAGATACATTATGCAAAGGCAGGGGCAGGCAATGAAGATACCCTCTTTGATTCTGTGGCTAAGCCATTTGATGGGAAGCAGTACAAGCTTGCCCTGATTACCATGAGAAACAAGACCATTCTTCACACAGACTGCCAGGAGGTTGATGCAGCTGGAATAATTCATCGGAGATGGCAAGAATATTTTTTCAGTGGGACAAAACCTGATAATATATCAGTGGTTAAAAGCATCATTCCCCAGCCCCACAAAAACCCTGGCATAATATTGTTACCAGGGTCTGATGAGAATAATTAATATATTCGGCATTTATTATTGTGATATTTATTCACATATAGTAACACTGTGCATTGGTGGAATCAGATCTGAGCCTGAAGAAGTTACTTTTTAAAAAGAATTGGTTTCAAAATCCTCCAGTGAGCATGGTGATGACCCATATTGGCAAGGAGTGTCTTGGAATGGTGATCTTAAAAATAAACTTTTTCCAGACTGTGAGTTTAACTAATAAATAAAAAATTAATTAACCCGGAATTGAAGAATGTATTATCCCCCCTTTAAGTTTACTCCATCTGAATCCTGCTACAACCTGGAATCAAGTGAGTGAGGCCTGAATAAATGTGTACATCTTTCTTTGCACAAAGAAGTTCCAAAGTTCACCTTGTTCTCTCCCAAGTGTTGACATTTTCCTGAAGATTATGTCATTCAGTGAGGAAAAGAAAGGAACTAAATTTTTTCAGCATTCATTAGATCACAGTTGTGTGCACTTTTCCACAAGAGGTGCTAATGGTTGCAGGTTTAATCACTTTCAAGAATAAACAACACTTACTATGCACTTTAATGCACATAGAGACTATTATCAACAGGCTGGTGCACATGTCAGTGAAATACACTGCTGCTATGATTCTGCTCCTCGCTCTGTTATTTATGTTCATTGTATGTTATTTATGCTCAGTTATATGCAGAACATATGCTATTCTGCAGTCAAGTGCTTATGTGATCTGTTGTGGGGGAGATGAATGTAGATAAAATGATAGGATTGTAACTGTTACATTCATCTATTGCCATTTAGCAACAGATTAAAGTGTTACGCACACACTTCAGCTGTATAGGAACTATAACCAAGCCATGAATGAAACCTGCTGTGAAATACCTGGAGTGTTGAGTTTAGACTGCAGTTATGGGCAAGCCTTCACGTCTATTTCTCCTCACCCACCTGCTACCTTGTGGCTCTAATTATATTTACACCACTAATTTATTTTTGACATTCTTTATATTTTTTTCAGGATGACGTAAGTTTTTCAGGACAAGCTTCAGAACATGGTGTTAACATGCTCCCCACCACCATCCGACTGAGAAGTTGTAGCACTTACAAAGGTTTGGTGAAGAGCTGATTAGAGACTTATGTTTTACTGGGCTGTAACCACGGTAGAACAATTTGGACCAGGTTTGTCTGGTCCTATTAGGCAGGCTGGAGAAACTGGTTCTGTGGGCCAACTCTAGCAATTTACTATGGTGAGCAACAGGATTTTGTTTGTTGGAACTTCCATGTCAAGTCAACCTTCCCTCCTGTCTCCCAATATACTGCTTTGTGTAGCATCTTTCCAGATGAAGAGATCTGGGGATTTTAAAAGCTTGTAAAGGTAAAGGTTCCCCTTGACAATTGTTGTCCAGTCGTGTCCGACTCTAGGGGGCGGTGCTCATCCCTGTTTCCAAGCCATAGAGCCAGCGTTTTATCCGAAGACAATCTTCTGTGGTCACATGGCCAGTGCGACTTAGACACAGAACACTGTTATCTTCCCACCGAGGTGGTCCCTATTGATCTACTTGCATTTGCATGCTTTCAAACCGCTAGGTTGGCGGGAGCTGGGACAAAGCGACACGAGCTCACTCCGTCACGTGGATTCAATCTTACGACTGCTGGTCTTCTGACCCTGCAGCACAGGCTTCTGTGGTTTAGCCCACAGCGCCACCACGTCCCTATTTTAAAAGCTTGTACTCTTGTTCATTTGTAGTGAGCTGTAAAGAAGAGTGGTGCTTGATGGTAGCTTCCAGATCAAAATAAATAGCTTTTAAATATTAGGTGTTTTATAATATATTTGCTGTTCACAAGTGTAGAAACTTATTGATGAAAAGCAGCATCCAAATGCTTCCGTTAATAAATGGGCCACTTCTCACATTGCCATTTTAATGGATACATGTCACATGCATAATAAAAAGCTAACGTGAGGGAAATAACCAAGTCTCTTTCACTGCCTTTGGCCGCAGCTCTGTGCCAAGAGTGTGCACTGTGTGCAGTGCCAAACAAACAAACAGTCAAGTTTATGTGCTTTGGAAGAAATCCAGAGATTTTTTTTTTTAAGTTCTCTCTGTTGCATGCGGCTTGTTGGATGCTGCCTCACTTTTTCTCATAGGCTACTATCTAGAATCGCAGAATGAGAAGGATTTTGTTTTACACCCACTGTCAATTATTGGACAAATAATTTAATAAATAAAAACCCAATGCAAAAATTCACCACAGTCTAGAGAATGTCAGAAATTCACTGTAGATTGAAGAACTTGAAATACACTGCATATTCCAGATCCAGCCAGCTGGTTTAGTTATTTCAAAAGGTAGACTTTTAAAAGCCTACGCAGAAGTCAAGTCCAAACCTTGCCAATATCTTTCAATGACAACTCAAAGCATCTATTAGCATCGGTCACTTTGAGGCAACTACTGAGTGCACGATCAGTTTAGGTTGGGAATGGGTGAAAATTTCACTTCAGTTTGTTCTTTACAATATATCAACAGTCCTGAATGTCTTCGTATTTGGAGGGAGAAAACTTCAGGCTTAAAAAAATCAAGTGTGGTAAAAAATTTTAAATGAACAGATTTTTTTCATTCCAGATGTAAATAACGAACTGTGAGATATGGCTATTACAAACTGTTGCAAATATACTAATGTAACTGCCATGGCCTCTTTATACAGTAGATTTGGAGTGCTGCTTATATGATCAACCACTGATTTGACAGATAAACGTATCAGTAAAACCAATGATAAATCAGTAGTGAAAATAGACTTGTTGTTAACTATATATCCACACAACTAACTTTTAACCCAGCATCTGAAGTTGGAGATGGGGGAGGAGCAAGTAAAACAGGCACAACAGACTAAGTTATGTCCATCTGAAAAAAGTGACATCTCACCTCTCTTCAACCACTTGATAAGCACAGAGATGTGCCACTTTATGCCGCCGGGGGGGGGGGCTCAAACCATTGGATAGTCTTCCATGGTCCCTCAAAAAATCCAAAACAGATGTCAGGAAGTTGGCTAGGCTAGACCAACTTCCCCTAATACCTAATTCTGTATGTGAAGTGTTCTTTTTGTGTGTGTTCAGGACAGCATTCATATATGGTACGTCCATGTATCTAGTCTGCACTAGTGAAACTCCAACAGACTTTGGCTGGCTCTATAAAGAACTAGGCCTATACAAATCTTTTAGCTCCTCCAGCCCAAAAGGTGCACAGTATGTAGCTGGCTAAATGGGAGGGTGCTGAGATTTGGTGCTTCTGGGAATGTAACTAAGCACTTTTAGTGTAAGTGCAAAATGCTTCACATTTTATGAGGACACATTCAATGGAGAAATGAGTACTGTACTTAAAGCATGTGCTAGATCATGTGAAAATGATGCTCAAGACAACAGACAGCTGTTGACATTCAGAATAGACAAGATCAACTGTCATGGAAAAATAGAATTCCCTGATAAATACAGGTCCTTGTGTTCCCATGATAAAGTAGATGTACATAGTAATTTTCTGTATTTACCACAGCAACTGGTATTTCAAAGGTGGAGGTGTTGATCTGGATATCTGCGTGTAGGTCACTTGTGAAAAGATCTCTTTGGGACATGTGGAAACTATTTACATTTTATTGAACAATGATTCCTTATTCCTTTCCACCATCTCTAATCCCTGTCTCTGTGCAAATTAGTCCCTTTTGGAAAAAAAAAAGCCACATTTGCACAAATAATTATGGTCTTGCTTACATAGTTTTTTATAAATATATAAAATATACCAATTGCACTGCTAAAGGCACACCAGTTTCTGGAGGCTGTGAAGTATGTGGTTCACTCCATTACGTTGCTGTTTTCAGCTGTATTATTGGAAGCAACCATTCAAAACAAGACCAGAGAGATCTCCACTTCAAAAAAAAAAAAATTCAATACTGTATGCAATCAAGGAACACCAAGTTCTGTGTTCCTCGAGATCTTTAAACAGTGGGAGATAGATGCTTCCAGTGCTTTGGCAGCGGGCTCAGACATTGTAACAGCCTTGCAGCAAAGTTATGTGCCTCTGAGCATCAACAGTTTGCCCTCAGATATTCAGAGCAGAAAAATTTGAGTTCAAAAGAGTGACTTTGTGTTTTGGTGTTCAGATACTGTCCTTGCTTTGTATTTAAGTTCTTGGGCATATTATTTTATTTCAAATCTTGCTAGTTTGTCTAATAGCAGATTGCTCTTTTATGACTGCCATACATCATGGCAGTCATTTTGTGAATGGGCAAACCGCATGCATTATGGGAACTGTGCTTGGCAATCCCTACTCTTCCCAGCTAACCACTCCCCCAAATGCACCCATATTAAAAGGGTAATCAAAATGTTTACACAGAAGAATCGAAAGTGGTTAAATTTTATTGTCAGAATAGTAGATTTTATGCAGTCTTGTGTGACAGAAAACAAGCAAGCGAAGATGAATAGAAATGATTATCCACAGCAAAAGAAAGGCACATTCTAATGTCCACCTTAATAAACTGTGAAGCGACCAACAGAAAAATAGCCTAGCACCACTGAGTATAATACCCTTTTGCATTACAACATCTACAATGATAGTGGCATAAAAAATACAGTACCCTGACAGTGATATACAACCATGGAGCCTAGCTTAATAGTTTGAAGTACTATGTGACTAACAGAAGAATTAAACATGAAAAGATGCAAAATGGCAAACTTTTTTTAAAAAAGAGGCAGATTTCTCAAAATTTGCACAAGTCTGCACCCTTAAAAAACAGCTATTTTTTTAAAAAAAAAACACGAAGACGCACAGCACCCCCTCAAGAAAGATTTTTCAGGATACATTTGGATTTAATTTCTATTTTGCAGCTTAACTATTTCACCCAAGCAAGTATTAATATTGCCATCAACCAGTTCTTTTTATATTTTTGTATATTTTGTTTAAACAAAAAAGGAACATAGGTTCCCATTAGATTAAGATGACATTTCAGATTAGCTTGCTGGTTCATTACTAGCGCCCCAGCATGCTGCTGCTGCTAACAGTTGTATAGGAGTAAGAATATGAAGTATTTGTGCTTCCATCAAAACTTCCCCTTCTAGATCCACTGCGTGACCCAGAGCGTGACCCTGAGCGTGACCCTGAACGAGAACCTGGTGCTGAAGAAACATTATATGGGCTAGATATGCCTTTGGAAGAAACAGAAGCAGCTTCTAGTAACCTGAGCCCAGACTGGTCTTCCACCATAGAGCGATTCACTGCATCCTTGTAGGAAATCTTCAGTTTGGTTTTGGGACAGGTCAAAATCTTCGCATAATTGCCAGTGTCTTGTAATCTCTGGGCGGTCCGGCCATCAATCATTCCTTTCCTAATGGCTTCTTCTGTACTTATTCTCCCCCGTACTTCTGGGTCAACAAGGCCTCCTGTGATAAACTGAAACTCAAGGAAGCGTTGTCCAGCCTCATAAGGTAGCCACTTTTCTTTCACTGCCTCTGCTGCTGACATTCTCTTTCGACCTTTGATGCCTTCAAACCCTACAAAAGCTTTTTGAGCTGGCTTCAGCCGAGTAGCCATATCATGGTCTATGAGGCCTTTGACAACTGCGTCCTGAAGAGAAAGACGCTGGCCTGTGGTTGGACATATGATGCCTCCAGTGCAAGCTTGGGCTTCAAGCAAACGTTGGGCAGTGATGCTATCAACGATGCCCCGTTCCACAGCTTCTGAAATGGAGATCTTCTCCAAATTTTCTGTATCAAAAATGGCTGCAATGGGACTAGTTTCCTCAAAGGATTCAGAAAAGGAGCCAGAGCTACTCTTTAACACCACAGAAGAGCTCTTTACACTCATTAGAGTGGGAGACCTCATGATGGCCTCATGTCTAAAGACTTCGTCGCTACCATTTCTGCAAGCAATCATGTCTGCAAACTGTGTGAGACTCAATGATCCTGAACGGTACTGGTCAAAAAATTTCTGGTCGACAAGACCCTTATCAATGGAATCTTGGATATCATATTGATGGCCTGTTTTCCTATCAACAAGTACAATTCGGGTGCTTCCATCTGATCCTGTGATTGTTATTTCTTCCCATTCACACTCCTGGTCACGAAGCTCCAGAAAAGTGTCATAATCTATGAGACCTTTGCTGTATGCCTCCTGGACGGACATCTCCTTGTTTGTGTCTGGATCTACAATGACAACCCTGCGTTTCCTAAGGGTGTTTTTTTGTGAGGTCTGCACCAATTTCTTCTTCTCCCGCAGAGGTAAGAGACAGAGCCCTGTCTCTTCATCTGTTATGCATCTTTCTTTCAACTGCAGGTAAGTCAAGTTTTCTTCAGTGTTGGGGTCAAAAAACCCTTTGGTATCATCACTAGGATCAGAGAGAATGTCATTTAGCTCTTCATTGAAGTAGCCACGTTGATACGCTGTGTGGACTGGCAGACGATGACTTTCCTTAGGGTCAATGATCCCACCAGTAGCTATCTGGGCCTCCAGTAAACGGATGCCATGGCCTTTCTCAATGAGTTCCTTGTTCATGGCTTGGAACAAGGAGATAATATTTCCTGTTTCTGGATCTCTGTACCCAGTGACGGCTTTTTCAGCAGACAGAAGTTTCTCTTTAAACTCTATTCCAACCAGACCTTTCTTGTAGGCTTCTTCCACAGCAAGCCTTGAATTGCTAACAGGATCCACAATGAATCCAGTGGCTGCCTGGGCTTCTAGAAGCTCAAGAGCCGTCCCTGGTCTAACCAAGCCTATTTTCATGGCCTGGTAAATGCCAAGCTTTTCTCTGGTGGCCTCATTATAAATACCAGCTATGCAGCTGGAGCCCTGGAGGAAGTCTTTGATCCGGTCAGTGACTTCTTCCACAGTGATGATCCCACTTTCTAGATCATTTGCTGTTGATTTCTGAATGATGCCAGACTCGACAAGTTCTGAAACAGAAATGGGCTTCCTGATGCCTGGGAATGACATGCTTCTCTTCTGCACAGGGAGGAGAAGTAGCCCAGTGTGTGGTTCGATTCTGCATTTATCCCTCAGCTTCATGTAACTTATAGCTTTCTTAGTGATAGGGTCAATCAAATTCTTTGAAGGATTATTCAAAACTCTGTACAAGTCTCGGTCAATGACCCCACGGGATAAAGCAACATCTTTTGGCAGGAAGACACTGTTAATCGGGTCAACAATGCCTCCAGCAGCCAACTGGGCTTCAAGAAGACGTATCCCAGTATCCCTGTCTACCAAGTTTTTCTTTATGGCTTCTGCCACAGGCACTGTTTTCCCAGAAAAGGGATCTTTAAATCCAGTGATTGCCTTTTCAGCTGTATAGATCTGTTCCCTGTCGTCAAAGTCAATCAAGTCTCTAGCAACAGCACTGTCCACACTTAGCAGTTCATTTCGGTGGGGATCAATCACACCTCCTGTGGCAGCCTGGGCTTCCAAAAGCAGGACTGCAGTCTCTTGGGGAAGCAAGTTCTTCTGTTTTGCCTCTCTCAAAGAATACTTATCCTTGGGGCTCAGAGATGCTCCTGCTATAGCCCCAGCTCCTTTAAGGTAGGGCTCAAGGTCAGCAGCAACTTCTTCCACCGATTTTTGCCCTCTCAGCAGCTTATCTAGGGTGCTTCTGTCTATCAACTGGCACTCGTACAACTGAACAGCTGTTATTTTTTTCCGAAGCCCATTGAAAAGCAGTTTGGAAGGATCAATGACAAAGTCCTCCTCTGTTTGAGTGCCTCTGTGGGATCCGCAGGGACGCTGTTTCAGCTTCTCAATCTCCCTCTGTAGTCTCAAGCGCTCAGCCTCCACGTCTGACTGGCTCTTTCTACTTGTCTCTTCTAACCGCATCCGAAACCTTTCCTCAATCCTCTTGATCTCCGCCTGCAGCCTCTCTATCTCTATCTTCAAGGTGCTCTTTTCCCTCTCACTTTTGTCTCGCTCAGATTCAATCTTCCGAATAGTTTCTTCCTTCCGGGAGTACTGGCTCTTCCACTGATTTAAGTCATTCATGATCTGCTGTTTCTCATTCTCCAGCCGTACTTTCAAGCGAGATTCTGATTCTAGTGCAGCTTTGGCACGATTCAGCTCTTCCTCTAATCTCAGCAACCTTGCTTTATCTTGCTCCAGGGCATTTATTTTTATCAGCAATGTTTCTCGTTCTTGCATAATATGAGTGCATTGGGTTTTGGTTTCTTGAATCCTGTGGGATGACTGTGTTTAAACATGGGGAGAAAAACAAAGAGAAAAATGAGCATCTCTTCTAACATCCAGTAACATTTATCTTCTACACCTAATAATTCAATGTTTATATAAGAGCACTGGATTAGCTGTCATCTAGTCTAATAAATACTGGGTTTTAAAATGCAGTTATGAATTTGTTTTAATGTGTCATGTCAGAATTAAGAGAAATGCCTTCATTTCTTCAAATTAAGGCAGAGGGGCACCATACTATCATAGTGACAAACTTTTAGGCCTCTCTGGTTTCAGTGGAAAGGGTAAAGTTGTCTATAATGGTGCAGTCTACACATGTCTCCTTAGCGCTAAGTCCCTTAGGACTATAGTGGTGCCCCGCAAGACGATGTTAATTTGTTCAGCGAAAATCGCTGCCTTGTGAAAACATTGTCTTGCGAAATGCGGTTCCCAACTGGAATGCATTGAAATTCATTTAATATGTTCCAATGGGGAAAAATTGTCATCGTTTTGCAAAAATCGCCCATTGAGAAACTGTTTTGCGAAGCGCAGATCAGCTGTAAAAATTGCTGTCTTGCGAAAATCGGTCCCGAAAACACCCATTTTGCGAGTCGCGGACTCAGCTGTCAAAATCATCGTCTTGCAAAAATCGGTCCAGAAAAAAAACCATCCTGCGAAGCACGGTCCAAAACATCATCCAGCAAAAATCGCCCATAGGAAACACCATTTTGCGGAGCGCTATAGCGATTGCAAAAACTCATCGCCTAGCGAATTAAACATTTTGCGACATAATTGTCTAGCGGGGCACCACTGTACTCTCAAGTAAATGTGTTTGCCTCTCAGCTCCTCAATGGAACTTACTTCTGAGCAAGATTTCAATGGAAGTTAACTCATAATGGCTCATTCTTCTTGTATCTAGTGTTTCACATGTCTTCCCTTTCTTTAATGGAAATATGAATTGCCAGCTCTCTTAATTTTAACTTTGGTTTAGCAGAGAATTTTGGGGATGCCTACGTTTTAGTATTGCTACCTTCCTTCATATGTCTCAGCTCTGAAATAGGTGAGAAAATGCCAAACAAATTAACCAACAGAGTTCAGCTAAAGAATAAAAAATCAAAAGAGCTTTCTTGATTACAAGACCATATAAGAGCTTTTTTTACAAACAAGGCATGAACATGGAACTTCCAAGCAAGAACCTCACAACTAATTTTAGTGGAAAACTTAGAGAATAATCAGATGGGCCTCTGCCCCACTGTTTGGTCTGCTACAGAGACAGGTTGGTTTGCTCTTTTTTCTCCTTTTGGCAATCACAAACTTAATCGCTGGACAAAACTAACTGTCTCTTCCTGTACCTTTCTGAGACCTTGTCAGGGGATTCTAATTTGTGTGTGTGGGAGGGTCACTCAGGTTCTGTCTGTTTTCAGTGTGTTGGGTTACTGGGAATGGAGCAAAAATGAGCCTTTTGGCTGTCAAGGCCCCTTCTGTTTTGAATATCTGATATTGCGATGGGGCTTAATGAGTGAGCCACTTCACAATATTAGATATTTAAAACAGAAGGAGCAGGATCAAATGGGATTTATTGAGCTCTGATATGCCATTTGGATGTAAAGGTCACACCAAATGACATATCACACCTCCACCTGACCCTAAGCAATTCCATTTAGTCCACACCAGCATGCTCCAAAAATAAGCAGTGTAGATGAGCCCTGAGTCTACGTTTGCTTTCATTTGCACTGAAACAAAGAGGCAGCAAATGTTTCTTGTCTGTTTCCCATTCCTCCTTATTAAATATTTGTTTTAAATAACATCTGCATGTTATTTAAAAAAATAAAATGGGCACCCAGAATATGAAAATTACTCAGTCGGCTGAAATGTGCCCTGGATTTTTCAAGAGCAGTGAGACAGTGCCAGCTGCCATCTTACTCTATATATTTACTATGTAGTGTGGCATTAAATCTAGACTAGTCTGAACTGGACCCAGTTCCATCCACTTTAAAGCCAAGCACCTAATTATTTCATGCCATACGTCTGATTTCATTTTTAGTAAGCATTACGGTTAATAATATTATTAGATTAACTGATGACTCATGCTGTTAGTACAGCCTTCTAAGTAGAAACTGTAGACTTCACTTATCTGTATGATGAATTACAATGATAATGAATGTCTACGTCTCGTGGGAGTAAATGTACATGCATGTAGGTAGATGTGGGGAAGGATGAAAGAAACCAACAGTGGGAGAAAATGGATACAGCAACAGATATTGTGCCAGCAAAGCAATGTTCTTTACCAAACATAGCTTTTGCACAATCTCCATTTATTTCAGTGGGGCTTGAAATGAATGAAAGGTGAACTGTAGCAGTGCTAAATGGATTGCTCCTGCTAATTGGCAGTAGAGGGCTATAAATTACAATTTGAGAGGCATAAAAGAAAGGCAAGGAACAAAGACATGGAAAAGAAATTGACCAATTTTTTGTAAAATTAGGAGCCTAATGTGCAAGAGAAAAGGTCACAATCCAACACAAAGTTAAACATGCTTAAATGCATGGATTTCAATGGGATTGTGCATTCTTAACTCTTTGCTAGCTTATAACCTATATAATTAACTTTTTAAAATGCTCAGCAATTAAATTAACTGCAAATATATACAAAAGTAATAAAACTATGTATACATGTGTACAGTATGTATAAACATACACATAAGAACTACATAGATGTATGTATAGCAATAAAATGCATATCACATACATAAAACCAGTGTAACAGTATACATGCCTGCACATGTATACTTCTACAAATATAAATGTATTTTCATATATACAAATAATACATAAAATATATGAAAAATAAAGAAAGACTATGATTCAATACGTAACTTCATGAGTAACATATTGTATACTTCATGATAAAAGCATACAGTATTCAGAGGTGGCGGGAAGTAGCATACTTTTTGTCTTTGGGGCGAAGGTGGCAAAACAACCAAGAATAGAGGCAGTTTCCATAACAAGTTTTAGAAATATAGCCTGCTTCTCAGTTCTGCATCTGCTGATGCAAGGTGCAGCTAATGTTCTCTTAAGGAACCTTCAAGACAGTTTAAGTTCTGTTGGACCAAATAATGTCCAACATTGTGTTAAATACAGGCTTATAAAATAATTCATATCAATAATTACTCCTGTTCCACTGTTTTAAATAGGTCTACTCTAAAGATGATTAAGGCTGGCCCTAACCTGCTGAGTATAACTAAGCTATTGTGGATCCTGTTTTTTATCTCAGAATCCTGAAATGGGAGAAGGGAAATAAATAAGTGTAGAAGACCAAACACCCTTCATACTATGAGATCCCAGGCTTTAGAAGGGACTCAAATCTGGGCCTAAAGTTAAATATCAAACTAAAGACAGGAGCAATGAATCAATTAAGTCACAGATACATTACTTTAGTGTTCACTGATTGCCTGCAAATGCATATTCTATTAAATTATAGCATTTGAGGGATAGTAAAGTTGTGATCAAATATTTGTGAATACCTCTAAAGCCTGCTTTTCGAATTTTTCAATTTCCTGTCTCAAATTGTCCCTTTCTTTCTTTAAATCATTTATCAGACCCTGAAGTTCAAGGGTATGCTTGCTGCTTGTTTGGAGTTGATTCTTTAGTTCAATTATTGTAGCATTTTTTTCCTCATCCACTTCACTTCTGCCCCTTCTTAGATCATCGTATTCCAGTCTTACGTTTCGCAGCTCTTCCTCTAACATCAAATGTTCTTTTGTAAGGTTCTCAGTAAGAGACTGAAGCCTTTCGATTTCGATCTTGCACTCATTTAGGCTTTTGCTTTTATCCTCAATAGCCTTCTGCAAATGCTCATTGCGCACATGAGCCTGTTTCAGATTCTCCTGCTCTTGGACCATTTGGCGACGCAGGGTTTCAATCTCTGAGGTGTACTTCCTTATCTCCTCCATGTATCTCTGCTTATCTCTCATGTGATTATCTAGGATTTCTCTTTGGTGTCTCAAGTCATCTTCACTCCTTTTCTTTACAATTGAGACCTCTTCTATCTGCTGAGTGAGGTTTGTGATTTTAACAGCTTGCTCTCTGAGAGATCGCCTCATTGTTTCTAGCTCTTCTTCTACTTTCTTTCTCTTGGACGTTTCTTCAGCTAAAGTTCTAGATTGCCTATTAAGCTCCTCCTCGAGTGTGTGTTTCTGATGGTGCAACTCTTTTATAGTGCTCTGGAACCTTGTACTTTCTTGATCTTTCCCTTTCTTTTCTTGTGTAAGTCTTTCATATTCACTTCTTAACCGCCCCAACTCCTGCTCCTGAACTTTGAGCCGGCTGATGGTTTCTGTTGCATTGATATTGACTTTCTCCAGATCATACTGCACTCTTTGCAGTCGAATATTTTCCTCCTCCAAGGATTTCCTCTGGTTTGTTTCTGCTTCTAATAACTTTCTAAACTTTTCAATCTCTTTATTTTTCTCTTTAATTGTCCTTCCAGCATCATCAAGTGACTGCTTATAACGCACGGTCTCTTCTGAATATTTCTGGACAGTCTGCTTTAACTCAATTTCGAGTTGCTGTTTCTTTTGTGAAATCTCTGAGCCAATGGCTTTTTGCTGTTGAGCACTTTCTTCTACATGTCTAAGGTTCTCCGTGGTCTGACTTATCGTATTCTTCAGTCTCCTAATTTCATCGCATAAGCTCCTATTTTCTCTTATGACATTGTCAAGTTGTGCTCGGTAATTACTGGACTCCTCTTCCTTTTGTACTGTCACCTGGTTTATTGTGGTCTTTGTGATATTAATCTCAGTCTCATACTTGTTCTTTAAACTAATAATTTCCTCATCATAATTGTTCCTTACCTTAGCCAGTTCATTTTCAAGTTCCCAACGGCTTTTAGCCTCTTCCTGCAGCTGAATCTTTAGTCTTTCAATCTCCTTGGCTTTTTCCTGAATGGTTGAAGTAGCATCTTCAAGTGCCTTCTTGTATCTTGAGTTGTCTTCATTGCGCAGCTGAAGAACCTGCTTCAGTTCCAGCTCAATTTGTTGCTTCTGCTGCATCATTTCAGAGCCACAGGCCTTCTGCTGAAGAACATTCTCTTCCGCCCTCCTCCGTTGGTCCGTAGTTTCCAGAATAGTATCATTGAGGCGGACGATCTCATCCTTCAAGTCTCTGTTCTCCCTCTGTAGCCTATCGATTTGGGCTCTGAGGTTTTTGGCATCATCTTCTTTCTGGGATGCTATCTGGTGAATGGTGGTCTTCTTAATGTTAATCTCTGTTTCATACTTGTTCTTTAGATTACTGACCTCCTCATTAAACTGGTTTCTTACCTTAGCCAGCTCATTCTCATACTCCCTCTTCCGAGTCCCCTCGTCCTGGAGAAGAACCCTTAACCTTTCTATTTCGTACTCTTTCTCCTTGATGATTTTCTCAGATTCAATCTTTTGCCAACCAATACTTTCTTTCTCACTCTGCCTTGTCTTCTGCAATTGGTCAAAGTCAGTCTTCTGCTGATCATATCTGTCTTCCAGCAGCTTCCTCTTCCTCTTCTCGTCCTCAATTTCATATGTCAGTCTTGTTATCCTGTCGTTCAGATCTTTTATCTGAGCATAGCATTTATCCAGGTTTTGTTTGGCAGAACTGCCGTCCATCTCTGCTTGTCTCTTCATTTCTTCCAAGCCCATGAGTTTGGCTTTCAGCTGGGAAATTTCCACCTGGTACTTCTGCAGGTTTTGCTCCAAGAATTTGTGCTTATTGCTACTGTCAGAACTGGCGTCTCGGGCCAGTCTCAGCTCTTCTTCCAATAGTTCTATTTTGGTGCTTTTCATCTGCAGAATGAAAAATCAGGAAATATATATATATTAGATATGTCAACCATTTTATTTTATTTTATTACCAACTGCATGTAATACAGATTGCCATTTAAAAAAAAATAAAATAAAAACTTTAAATGCTTGTCTATAACAATCTTTACTTTCTCTTGTTAGCCTTGATAGACATAATAGACTTGATATTTTCAATAAGCCTGTGTTATAATTAAGCTATAATTCTCAGCAAAAACAACCTTATGCTCAAAGAATGATTGTATCTGGAGAAAGCATACAGTAGCATACAGTATGTGTTTAAAAGTTAAAGTCCAACTCTGAAAACAGATCTGGGGCACACTTATAATGGCTGTTCTTTCAAGACTAATATTTTTACTTTGGAAGCCTTTTGAAAAGAAAAAAGAGCATATATAATTTTTTTAACAGAAATGAACATAGCAACATAATAGCCATGTATCATGTCTGAACCAACAATTAGTCCAACAGTGGGACAGCAGCACATAAACAATTTTTGCAAACAGCACCTTCCTCACCCTTGATGTTAGTCTCTCTAGTACATGTACCAGGTCAGCTTTTATATGCCTGCATTGTAATCTCATGTGTGTGACAAAAAACTATTATTTCCTCAACGGAGAGTGAAACATATCCTATACTTATCCAGTCCATTTGTTGTTACTGCTCCACATGTTCAGTGGCTGAGAACTGACATCTAAAATCATTTCTAGAACTTAATTCCAGCTCAGGGAGGGCCCTACATAAAGTTGATATAATAGTGAACCTATAGGAGTTCGTTTTTGCTTTGAGTGAATGTTGAAGTTGAAGCGAAAAATCCTCTCTACTCTAATGGAAATGGTTGTCTTTTCTACACATGCAGTTCATCTTTTCCTAAACTTTTCACATAAGGATACAGCCTGGAGGCTGTCAAGTGGGGGAAAAACTCCCTGCATGGAGAATACTAGCATATCAGGAGGAGCTGATCTAAAACCCTCTTCTTAATATGCTAGACTTTTTAGGAATTTACTGTTCAAACAAGATATCCTCTATCTGCAGTCTGAATTGGTCTAGCACACAAGAAATTTCACCATGAGATTTTACTGCATGCCCAGATCCAAATTAAGTCTAAAAAAGCAAAAAACAAAAACAAAAACAAAAAAAACCCAACCAAACAAAAAAACCAAACCCAAAACCCAACGAACAAACGAAAGAAAGAATTTATACAACTGTACAAAAGTGATAGACACTAAACCATTTATTGTTAATACGATGCATACTGAAAGTGATTACCTTTAAATCTTCCAGGCTCTTTAACATTTCACTCAAGAACTTGTAATAATCTCCAGATCTTGTAAGAAGTTCTATGTATCGAGACTGAATCTCTGCAGCCTGAGGAAAGCAAAAAGAACAGAAGCCTATCAGTTATCCTAAATATTGTCTTTAGTTTGTATAGACAGAGTTTATTTCAAGTATTTTAAAACAAAGCAGCAGCATGATGCTAAACTTTGCAAATGCTGAGTCTTAAATTGTACAGGAAATCTACTTAGGTATAATTGGCTCCCTTCTCCAGACATTCACCCTGCAACTTGGGGGGAACTGCAGAGCCAGGCGTGGTGATGGAGCTAACAAACACATCAAGTTCTTTGTCATATATTTCCAAAGGCTACGATCTGAAGAAGATAATCTGTGCATCTCTTGCTTCATTTGGCAGAGTAATCCTTGAACAATTTCAATTTTCTTTCAGAATTGCACAGCCACTTTACAGTCATTACTGTCAAACAATCAGTTAACACTGAAGGTTTCACCACAGAAGAACAATGTGAGTAGCATAAAAGGAAAGCCATTTACCTCTTGCAGAATTAACCCTGAAGGAGACTGGACCACAGTCCGCTTGATTGGAATGTTCAACAAAGTCTCTAGTCCTGAACTATAGGCTGCAGCCTGGAGTTCGTAATCCTGCAGAACAAGGAGATGTAAACACAATGCATTTTGTGAAGATCATTGGCATATGTTTCCTCGTCTGGATTTTTCATAACTGCGGAAAGGCAATTCGTGTCCAAAGTCCATTTCAAGAATCAGTAGGATGAATAGGGAGCAGGAGAAGAAGCTGAAAATAGGACATGTTTCTAAAAATCCAAAATATATGAGGGTGGTAAGGTAGAAAAGATGAGAGATAAAATACTCCCTCCCCCCCACACACACACAGAGCTTACAAAAAAGTTTTTAAATAGTGAATTTGTTTTTTTATGGAAACATGACAAAAAGTTTCATAAGATGAGGTCAGCAGGAATTGAATGACATGCCTTAACTATTTCATATACCATGCCCACAATTTAACTAGTAACAGGTAAAGTTGACCTATACGATTGGCAGTCTGAGGCTAAATACATTTAGTTGGGAGCCCAACATATATTTCAGTGGAACTCATTTCTTTATATGCTTCCTTATTTTAATTTATTTTATAAACTGACATTGAACCTGTGTATCTTCTCCTCCTCTCACAAGACCCTCCCCAAGAGTTTGTTCTGTGGTTCTATTATTGGCATCCATGCCTTTCAAAATGTGTGGTGGAGGTTACGGACCAGCCAAACTGTCATGGATAAAAAACTTCCAGAAACACAGCAGTTAAGCCGTAAGACTGGCTTTGCCAATAAAGAAGCTTGTCATGTTGGAAAAGCAGGTTTGCCCTAGGACTGAAAAGAAGCTTTGCAGGATTAGCTCATTGTCATAAAAATAAAATTCTATGTGGGGGAGTGGGAGGGTAATATTGAAGCAACTGTACCTTGATTGCAGCTGAGCACACCTCTGCATTCTTGACCACTTCTTCCACTTTGTCTCGCTTGCCTGTTATTTCATTGTTCAAATTCTGCCAGAAAGGAAGACATGTTAACAAGATTTCTGTTAATTTGGGAGGATAGCAAGTGCCTGCTGCATTTACTCTGCTAAATCCCCCAAAACTCGAAATTCTGCTCTTTCCTTAGCCACTATTACTCTATCAGGAATTCTGGCCTGATCCTAAATACTGCCCCCCACACACACTGTTTGTATTTTAATTGCAAGGTAGGTGATTTAAGCTTGATATTCCCCCCCCCCTTGGGGGAGTGGGAGGGTAATATTGAAGCAACTGTACCTTGATAGCAGCTGAGCACACCTCTGCATTCTTGACCACTTCTTCCACTTTGTCTCGCTTGCCTGTTATTTCATTGTTCAAATTCTGCCAGAAAGGAAGACATGTTAATTTTAACCCAATTCCCAGAAATCAGGATTTCTGTTAATTTGGGAGGATAGCAAATTGCCTGCTGCATTTACTCTGCTAAATCCCCAAAGCCAGTCTATAAATGGGAATGCACATGCAGTCAAGATTTTAACTTGTGTCATAAAGCTTCGAAATTGTGCTCTTTCCTTAGCCATTATTACTCTATCAGGAATTCTGGCCTGATCCTAAATACTGCCCCCCACACACACTGTTTGTATTTTAATTGCAAGGTAGGTGATTTAAGCTTGATATCCCCCCCCCAATACCTTTTGTTCTTGCAAGTATCTCATGACAGTGCTAACATCTCCCAACTTCATAGTTTCAATAGTATCCTGGCGTCGCCTGGCATCAGAGATCCATTTGTTCAGAGCCTGGTAATGATCTCGATAGGTTCTCAGCTGCTTGACCTGTTTTTCTAAATCCCAGGATCTGCAAGATACACAGCACAATATAAACATGGGAAGCTGCCTTGATTTAGACCGGTGATACATTTAGCCCAGAGCTGCCTATTGTAGGGATATGGTAAGAGAGAGCCAAGCTGGATCAGATTGAAGTCCTGTCTAACCCAACAGTGTAGTCCAGTCCTGTCTAGTCCCACAAGACATGAATGCAATTCATCCTCCTGCTCATCTTCCCTAGCAACTTATATAGAGAAACACTATAATTAATAGAAGAAATTCAAGATGTGAACCAGAGGTTTTCCTGTGTCAACCCAAATCTCCTTTTGGACTAAATAGGAAATATGAGCCCTACCGCAAAGCTGTACCCCTTGCCTACGAACAGAGAGATTCACGCTGATCTGTTAAGAAGTCTTAGGTTTGCAATATGTGTTGGCTCTACAAGTTAAACTACAATGTGGAACAGCTGTGAATGCATATAACTTGCCTATTTTCAAAAGCTCATTCATTCCATAACAATCTTTTCTAAAGGGGAGTCGCAAATTGGGCTGTCTGTAGATGCTGATATAGCTTCTCCAGCATGATTTCAACAGGGGAGGGAGGGCACACTTTGCCCACTACTGTAATATTATGAGTGGATCTTGGTTAGCCTTTGGAAAACAAAAACAAACCTGTCATCTATTTGTTTCTCCACTCTTTGCCAACGGTCTGTTAGCTGGTTGACTTTGTCCGTGTACTTTCCAAGATCTAAATCATAGAGTGTATATGACTGTGAAGACTGCGAGTGAACCTGGAGGGCCTTCTGCAGCTCTGCTTCTAAGGTGCTGACCTGTGTCAACCCAAATCTCCTTTTGGACTGAAGGTGCCAGGATTCATTCTGGGACCTAAATAGGAAATATGAGCCCTACCACAAAGCTGTACCCCTTGCCTACGAACAGAGAGATTCACGCTGATCTGTTAAGAAGTCTTAGGTTTGCAATATGTGTTGGCTCTACAAGTTAAACTACAATGTGGAACAGCTGTGAATGCATATAACTTGCCTATTTTCAAAAGCTCATTCATTCCATAACAATCTTTTCTAAAGGGGAGTCACAAATTGGGCTGTCTGTAGATGCTGATATAGCTTCTCCAGCATGATTTCAACAGGGGAGGGCACACTTTGCCCACTACAATATTATGAGTGGATCTTGGTTAGCCTTTGGAAAACAAAAACAAACCTGTCATCTATTTGTTTCTCCACTCTTTGCCAACGGTCTGTTAGCTGGTTGACTTTGTCCGTGTACTTTCCGAGATCTAAATCATAGAGTGTATACGACTGTGAAGATTGCGAGTGAACCTGGAGGGCCTTCTGCAGCTCTGCTTCTAAGGTGCTGAGCAAGGACTTCTTCATGCTAAGGTCTGCTTTCATTTTCTAGAAAAACATACAGTCAGAAACAAACACTGTAAGTTCATCTGTATGTGCTACATGAAAAGTTTTTGGGTTTTTTTTTAAAAGCGTAACCAGATTCAGAAAGGGTGGGATATGATCACACCTACCCATATAGTAAATTTAGAGAAAACAGTAAAAATATAGATAAATCAAATTTATTACTGTGACAAAGAATTTATTCTTGGAGTGATATCCAAAACATGAATAACAATGTTTGATTTTTAAAATAATATACTAATATCTTCTATATTTGGATTATTACATATAAGATTGCTTGTTCTTTTATTCTTAAGAGATTATTATTCACTGGTCATATTTACACAGAAGGACATGGCAACATTTCAGAGGCTTAGAGTTTACAAGCAATGTGCTGGTGCAGGCTTCCTAGTTTCCCATGCTTAGCAACCCCCATAAGAACCAGCAGGAAACATTCAAATTGTGAGCCGCAGTTTGTCACTCACAGCCTTGAAATTAGCTTCTGATTTTTTAACTTCTTGGGAAGTGGCAAGGCCAAGTCATGATTCAGTTGTCTGATGACTGTAACCCCCCCCCCCATCAACCCTAATCAGTATAGATAATGAGGAAGGATGATGGAGAGGCATCAGGCAAGAGCAAGTAGGGAACATACACAAGCTTATGCCTTGTGAACAAAAAAAGCAAAAATCTCCACAATTTCCCAAATTCTGGCCTATCAATTTTGATAAATTTCCCTGATTTCTTCAAAAAAAAAGTAATTTTACTCTCACCTTCAAGCTGGCACGGTAAGCTTCTACTTTATCTGGATCCAAAGAAAGAGTGTCCTCTTCTGTGAGTCGGACTTCAAACACTCGGATCACGTCATCTGTCTGGAGAATGGCCTGAAGTAGTGATCTCAATGCGTTTAAACTGCAGCAAAAACAGTACCATAAAAAAAGTCAAATCCATTATTGAGAGGGGAACATTATTTGCTTTCACAACTAAACCCCAGGCCGAGTTTTCTTACATTTACATATAGACTTAGCAGCTGTCACAATATTAAATACTCCAAGAAATAAAGAGTGCATTCCCATTCATACATAGATGGGAATAAGACCCATTAAACAGAAAGGGATTTACACCTAACTTAGCATTAATAATAAGAAATTATTATTATCATTATTATGTACCATCAAGTCGAGTCTGACATGGCGATCCTTTCCAGGGTTTTCTAGTTATACAAGACCATTTCCTTCTTCGGGGGAACCCTAGGACTGTGCAGCTTGTCCAAGGCCATATAGGCTAGTTCCTCTCTCAGAAGACACAGTGGGGAATTGACCTTCTGAACCTCTGGCTCTGCAGCCAAATACCTAACTCATTGAGCTACCCAGCCAGTTAAACATAAGTAAGTGCCTGAACACATTCAAAAAGCTGTCTTCATCATTCCATAGATGAAAGTTTTGCTTGTGAATCCATGCACAGAAGAATCTACTTTAGATGGCACTAGAAACTAATTTTTGTTCTTAAAGTAGACAGTGTGCATCCATGAGCCAGCTTTGTAAAACACCAGTTAAGACAGTCAGCATAACATAGCTATTAAGAATATTAGCTATGAACTGTAAGTTTTATGGGTGTACAGTCTGATCTTAAATAAAATAAAAGCTCTGACCTAAATCCATTTTTAGTCCCAACTAGAGCAGTTCCATTGAAATGAATGAGATATTAGGCAGCACTAACATAGTCCTATTTATTTCAATAGGTTTAATCTAGCTGGGATTAAACTTGAATTCAATCCTCTTTCAGTAGAAATATGTACTATTTGTATGAAAGGCTGTAAAGTAAAATGTTACCACGCTAGCAGTTTCATAAATTAGAATTCTAAGTTCCTTAATGGGGTTGGTAAAAACAGACACTGGTTTCAGGCTGGTTTTGGTTGTTAGTATTGCTGTGGCTTCTAGAAACAGTAGCAATATCAAAACTGCAGTCTGAAAAAAGCCAAGAACTTCTTGTATGCAAACTGAGCAATGTGTACTGCATAAAATGGTATTTTTGCATGGCTTATTTTATTAATTAATTTTGTACTCCTTAGTGCAGAACTTGAATTGGTAGGGTGGATGCATAGCTTGTTGAGTTGGGAGGCAAGGGTCAACTAGTTTGATTTCCTGTGCTTTTTGGGAGAAGAGCCAGCTGGTTTAGATTTGGACAAGTTACTCAGTCCCAGAGTGACCCCCTGAAGATCATGGGAAACTATTTCTGAGTATTCTATACCAGGGGTCCCTAATTCCGGTCCACGGCCCGGTGCCGGTCCATGGGTTTTGCAGGACCAGACCACGGAGACAGATCTCCCACCCACCCCCGCACGCATGCATAGTGAACACCCCACTCAACTGCAAGAGCACCACACCCACGGCCCCCCGCAAGCATGGGGAGTGCCCCCCGCACACTGGACCCCGGCCCGTGATTCCAAAAAGGTTGGGGAACAACTGCTCTAGACCTAAGAAACCCTGGAAAGAATCAGTATAAGATGGAATAGACCTGACAGTACATTGTTACTATTGTTGCTGAATATTAATAGTGCTAGAACATCCTGGTACTTTAATCAATTTGATGTCTAAGGAGGATTTAACAAAACCGCTAGTTCTTGTAAAACAAAGCACACAGTTCCAGAACCAATAAAGGCATCAGAAGATTGTTCCTCTGGTCTCTTACCTATCTAAATAACTAGCAGAAACCCCATTAATATTTTCCAGTTTCTGAAACAAAGCATTGATTTCAGACTGCAAATACAGATACTTTTCTGAGCCCCTAAAATTGGGAAGGTAATCGTTCTGTCTGTTGAGAGCATCTGCCATTGCCTGGGATTCATTTTGTATGCCCTGAAAAGAAAGAAACAAACAAAGACATCATAACTGACTCTTGCATGTATTTAATGATTACGTGATTAACCTCCAAATGATAGTTCATTCGTTTTTACAGAACATCTGTTTCAACAGTTCCCCCCTCCCCACAAAAAGAGACAGAGGGCTCTCTCTCTCTCTCTCTGTGTGTGTGTGTGTGTGTGTGTATGCATCTTGGCTTCCCTGCATTCAGACGCTTTATTTATGCTTACACTCACAGTCCTCATTCTCTGCAGTCACGCTGAACTACAAAGAGATTCATCAACCACAAAAGAGGCTGTATTAGAAGTTTGAGGGATTCTGGTGGCAAAAGATAAAAACAGATGGAAAAAGATGGGATTCTAAATACTTCTTACCACAGTATAATAGTAACAGGTGTGAAAGTCATTAGTTTCATCCCTATTACCTGATTGAAGACCCAGGTTTTCTGAAGCATAACTTTCAAGGAAGAGGAAAGGAACCTACAACCTTTCAGATGCTTCTGGACTTCCTCTTCCATAACAAAAAGTGAGAGACATTAAGAACTGAAGTCCAACAATATCTGAACAGTCACAGATTCCCCACCCCTGACCTAAAGTCTGTCTGAATGTACATCCAACACATTCCCTCTGGCTGACCAGTGAGTGTTAGATACTAGAGAACAATGATACACGTTTTGTTGATCTGAACCGTATACAGCATAATCGATCTGTTTCATGCTAATCAAATATACCTCTAATTCACTGATTCTGATGGTCAAATTGTGGGAGGCCCCTTGATCAAGCTGGAGGGGTGTTCTCTGTACCGCCCGAAATTCACAGTTTTCTATTTGGCGCCGAAGCTTCTGGAGTTCCATGAGTATCCAGGCCTCCTGCCTATCCTGCTCCCGGGGCCAATCTGGAATTTGACCTTTGCCGGCAGAGCCCACATGAGTCAGCATAGTCTGTATAACTGGGGGGCGGGGGCGGGGGAGAGACAGAGAGACATTGGAATGTACAGTATGTAGTAGCATCAGAGAGACCCCGGCCTTGTGGTGTCAAGTTTACAAGACCCCACAATCCTCCAACCAGGGCCTGGGGCAAAAGAATCCAAAGTTCAGGAAGCGATTCTTAGACGAGAATTGAAAGTCCTTCCACACAAATATGCATTCCAGGCCATCCTCCTAACAGCTTTCTTTACGTTATCAGGAAAATGGGAGTGACAATAGTATCACTGTAGTTATTTTTTTAATTGACTGGACTCCTTACTGATTTACCAGTGGACTCTGATCTACCTTCTGCTCTCCTCAGAATTAGAAGAGGACTGTCCATTTTAACTTTTGGAAAGTGAACCCCTGTGAAAAAGGGAGGTATGACATTGTGGCCAGGAGGGCAATTCTGGAGAATGGAAACAGACATAACTTCTACATTCTGCAGAATAGGTCTGCCTTCTTCTCTTCTTCCCTATGTGGCAAAGAACTTGCAGTGGAATGAACTGGGCATATGCAAAACACAATTCCATATAATTAAAAAGTGTTTCTCAGTAGGCATCAGCAACCAATTATCCTCAGGACTGCATGGAAAACCAAATGTCCAGAACCTATTTATTAGGTGTTGCTTTCCTTTTATTGTAAAGCAGAGGTCTGCAAAAATTATGACATGCCAACCTGAGAACAGTGCACCCAGCTGGTTCCCAGATGTAGAAAGAGAGAAAGGGTGTGTCACATCCATGGTGAGCTGCATAATGGCTACTAGGCTCAGCAGAACATCATACCAGTTATGTCAGCTTGCAGCGTGCCTCATGACCACAACATGAAACTAGTGCTACATATAGTCGCACCACTAGAGTGGACTTACTTTGTGGTGGTGGCTGAGGACGTTGTTGCTGTTGGTAGCCTGGCAGCTGGATGACCAGAGTCTGGTAGTGCTTTTGGGCATCAGTGAACTGAGTCTGTATCTTCCTCTTCTCATCATCACCAAACATTTCTGATCCTTGGCTGTTCCTGAGGAATTCTTGGTAGTGAATCTCCAGATCAGCAATTACACGCTGATAATCTTCTCTGCGCATTGTCTTCAGCTGAAATGAGCAGACAAGAATAATTTAAGGAAAACTGCTAAACAAGCATGTCGAGGGATGGTGGTTAATTAATCCCAGTCCTTCACATGTTTTGGACATCAGTTCCTAGCATCCACTGCTGGAATGGTTCAATGGCCAGGAAATCTGGGAGTTGACGTCCAAAACTTTTGCAAGGCCAAAGCTTGGGGAACACTGCTCCAGGTGATGTCAATAAAAACCTAGAGATGGGGAATATATAACCCTCCAAATGTAGTTGAATGGGAACTCCATTAGTCCTAGCCAGCATATCCAGTGGTGAGGAATGATGGGAGATGTGGTTCAACAACATCCCAAGGGTCTCCTGGCCTCCATCACTGCTATTGATGAATGGCAATGAAGTCAGAGAGTACACATGTAGGACAAATGGGTTAATCATAGGTTTATGTCAGAAGGAAAAATCTAAGGATAGAAACTATGGAATGTGTAGATGAAGGAGAACAGGGAATGTCTATATTAGCAAAAACAGAACTGCCTGCAAAAACACCTGTCTTATTATCAGTGCAGACAAGGCTTGAGAGAAGACAAACAGCCTTTGTACCTGGTTGAATGTACATGCCTAAGCTTTGTTCCACATGTGTCTGCAGCCAGTGGGACAGCTACATATGAGTTATCCGCATAAGCTTGCACTGCACCTCTGTTAAAATACACCATTGGGTTCAAAATCAGGATAGGCAGAAAATGGTTAAAAGAGAGGGTTTTTTCCAATTTTTCAGAGCACACTTGTGGATGAACAGAGTTATTATCAGTAGTGTTGCAGATTATGAAGTTATTAATTACTCTGCACCAACAATGGAACAAGGAGGTATGGTTTTATGAACTTGGCATAGCAGAAGAACATACAGCCAGAGAAACACATCTGCTATGGCTTGATAATTGCTGTTTCAGACTGGTCCATTCCCTCTTAGCTCAGAAGGAATTCTACAACCACGGGTTCTCTCCACCAGCAATAGGAGAGGTTTTACACCTACAAACTCCTCTCCAGAAAGGAAACGATATGTTAAGCAAACAGAGAGTTGCAGAAAAAGCTTGACAACTCCTGTTCTAATGGTCATAGCCTTGATTTTCTCAATGTCAATCAAGCAGTAATGCCAAGACACCAGGCTCTTCATGTTGATGTAGAGCTGATTCCAGAGAGCCATGATAGCTTCATAGTACTGTTCAATCCTAAGGGGCAATGGGGGGGGGTTACATATGATCAAGAAGCAGCATCCACCTTTCACCTGTCCTTAACTTTAACGCAGAAGAAAACACTACCTCAGGTATCAAAAGTGTTGGGAACGCTGCCTTAGCAGCATGAAAATAATGGGAAATACTCAGTTGCTTGATCATCTTTAGTGACAAAAAAATTGTCCAGGTCACTTGGTGCATATTTAAAAATGTTCACAATACAATTTACACCTAAAGAAACCCCAGCTCAAATTTACAAAAGTAGTAAGTTTCTAGTCCTCATGTTTTAGAGCAGAGGGCTCTTCAAAGCTTAAGTACGTCCTATTCTCACAGCAACATTTTCTGCCACAACACAACTCACAGATTTTGCATGTTGGCCTCACATTTTTATGAAGCACACCTGGGCAGGATGGATTTCCCAAGCCAGATACACAAACTGCATTAAACGTCAAGGAAGAACTCACTCTTCTGTAGGGAGGCCTGCCTTATAGTCCAAACAACTAAGCTTTAGAATCTTGTTAATAACTCACTTGGTTGCCAGATCCACAGCTAATGGGTTAGGGGGAGGAATAATGAGACTGACAGATGGCACCAGCATATCCACTCCTCCTGGTCCGGTCACATGCCACTTGCTGCGTTCACTGTTATCTTTCAAAATGCATTCATCTCCCTTGCGCATTGTTTTCTATCAAAAAGAAAGAAGAAAAAATACACTGGATGAGTACACCAGAGCACCTTAAGTACTTCTAATGCTTACAATCAGTTTTTTATTTTAGGAATAAGTTTGATTTCTTCCCAGTATCAGACAACTGGATTTATTCAATGCCAAGTTTCAGTAACTAAAACAAGAATGTTTTTTTATTGTATACAGATGGGGGTACAGATATATGGAGCAACAGTTTAAGATGGAGTTTCCCCTTCAGCATCTTTGGAAATATTTGAAATAATTTTTCACCCAAGTCACTTTGTAGCAGCTACAGTTAGGCAATACTGAAGACAGGTATTGTAACGTCCTTATAAATTTCAGCAGATTCCAGTAAAACTTATTTCCAAAGCCTCCAGAATAGGGTTGGCCCAACAACTGAACTTATCAATTACTCATAAGCAAGTATGTGAGTGCCTCGAAGAAGAAACACCAATGTCTTAGTCAGCAAGAATTAACAAAAACCTGGGACTGAAATCAGGCCTTCGAAGCGCTTCCCCCTCCCCACAGAACCCCCCCCCCCCCAGGCCGTACAGACCATTAATTTACATGATTCTTACCAGATCCTGTTTGTAGTCACACAGGGCTTTGAGAATGATGGTTTTATTGCTCTTGTAATCAGGATTCCGTGGTTTTAGCTGCACTATCTTCTTTGACTTATTCACCAAATTTTGCACCTGCCTCTTGTATTCCAGAATCTTCTCTCGTTCATTCTAGAAAGAGAGACAAAATTTGTAACAGGGAGCATGTAACTCTCTTATTATAAAAACTTCACTGGATGTTTCTGGCCTCAATTTGAAGTGCAGATTATTACCTATAAAGCCTGATATGGCTTGAGTCTATGCTATTTAAAGAATCGTATTACCCCATATGGCAGTACTCAGCTTTTAAGATCACCTGGGGAGGCCCTTTGCTCAGTTCCAACACCTTCCCAAGCTCATTTGGAATGCCCTGCCCCAAGAAGCTAGATTTGTTTCTTCCCTCTTGTCCTTTCATTGTCAGACAAAAAACATCATTTTCAGACAGATTATAAAGCAATAAATAAGACTCTAGGGACACTGCATTTATGAAAGTCGGATTTTTAAAAACTGTTTTTAATCTCATTGATGTTTGGTTATGTTCTGATGTGGTTTTGCCTAGGTTTTTGGTCTGTTATCATTACGCAGTTTTGTAAACTGCCCTGGGCCCCTTATGGGGAGAAAGGTAGCACATAAAAATAAAACAAAATGACATTGTCCAACTCAACCTACATTTGCATTGGATCAAATCTGGATCCTCATAAAAGTGAAGGCAAATATGTCTTTAGACAAGTCATGGCAACTGAACCTCTTTTGTATTAGGTTGAAACGTTTCACTACTCATCCAAGTAGCTTCTTCAGTCTTTGCTACTTGAATGACGAGATAAATGTTTCAACCTAGTAAGAAAGAAGCCCAGTTGCCATGACTCAGCTTCCAGATAACCTCACCTGGATAACTGAGGATCTTCACAGATATCTCTGTAGATGTTTGTCCTAGCTAAGACCCATGCTGGAACAATGTACTGTCTCTTGGATTAGAAAATTTCAAACATTAGATGCAATGATTCAATGCAACTCCTTGCACTGAGTAAGGGAAGAAGAGATAGCTTTAAAAGAAAACTAACCTTTAATTCTTAAGGAGCCAACCTTGGACTCTTAAAGAGTTAGATGTGAAAAATGCTATACTATCATAGATAAAATGGAAGATTAGTATAATTTCTGAGAAAAACAAGGTAGAAACTACTTATTTTTGTCACATCAATGTGACAAAAACCCCAAGGAAACTGTAGCTCCCTCAACTTTCCCCTCAGTCTCTCTTTGCTCTACAAGTCTACTGAGAGCATGTTTCCAAGTGAATTTGTACATGCACTATCATCACACCATGGTTATCCTATTAAATGCTGGCTGGCAGGTGTGAAACAATCAAATAAGAGAACACTGTATTGAAGTTGACAGAAGTCACAGCATTTTTAAAAGCCAGTGGGAGCAGTACCTCTAACTCCTTGATCTGCTCCAGCAGAACTGGCAAGGACATGTTCTTGTCACAAATAAACTTTTTCCTGATGGCATCTTGTAGGTTCTTCAAATAGTTTTCAGTAGCTTGGGCTTCCTCAAAAAACTGCACCCAAAAAGAAACAAAAATGACATATCCTTTATTTGCTGATTTCTTAAAACCAAATTAGTATGAGCATTCTAGTTGCAATGACCACAACCTTATTCCTTTACTACAATCTTACTACTTATTAGTTCAACAGCATATCAACTATGAATTGCTGTTAATGAAGGAAGCACCACTTCTGTTCCTCATCATGCACTAAGTCATGTGACTGGCACATGACAAGGAATGCAAGTGGTAGCTTTTTAATAATCATTATGCCCCATCAAGCCAATTCTGACTTATGGTGACCCTTTTCACAGTTTTCACTGAAGCGGTTTCCCGTTCCCTTCTTCTGGGGGCAGCTTGGGACTGTGCAATTTGCCAAAGGCTGGCTTTACTCACAGGAGGTACTGTGGAGAATTAAACTCCCAACCATACCCAACTCACTGAACTATCAAGCCAGCTTAATAACTGTGCAGGTTGCTATGGCTACACAGGCTGGCCTTTCTCCTAGGACCTCCCAACCTCTAGTTCTGCAGCTAGATATCTAAACCACTGAGCTATCCAACAAGCAGCAATTCACCACTAAGATGTATGCCATTGCATTTATGGCCAAATCTACATAACACGATTCTGGCCAAGATTTAATTTCTGTTAGGAATAAATAGTATTAAGAATAGTCTCAGAACAAAATCTTGGTATAGATTTGTAAGATCCAAAGTGCCAGATTATAGCCCTACTCTGTAGTTGCAAAGCATGGAGAGATCACTGGCAATAATGGGGAATATGACTAACATCCTTTAGAGAACAGTCATGTATTTAAATTAGACCAATGCAGATTAGCAGAAAATGTAGTCCTTAAAATGTACAAATATAGTATACTTTTAACAGTGCAGCTTTACGAAGAGCAAGTGAAGGAAAACAAACCAAAGATAGTGTGCAGCTATTAAAAGAAGAATCTAACTTTAGATACTTTATTTTGTTGACCTTCCTTAAAAAGCTGATCACTGTGTTGCAGTTTATAATATTATCCATTATTATTGTCCACTAATAAATACCTGAAAGTATGCTGCATTCTCCTTGAGATGAACATCAATGCATTTGGTGATCTGGAGAATCCAACTCCATTGAGTCTGCAGTGTATCCATGTAGGCCTAGGGGGGGAAAAGGTCACAGTTCAATCTCAGCTTCAACACAACCATTTGATTTTCATTTCACCACCCCTTCCTCAACTTTACAAATTCCACAAAATAGCATGGATGAAGACAAACATTCGAGGGGAGAAGAGTCAGAGTTTATCTTCTAAGTCACCCCACTCCCTCACCAGCACAGTCATGCCTGCCCTGCCCTCCTCAAATCTTTCCAGAGAAAGTATCTGGCAGGGGGGCAAGGGAACTCCCACAACTTTTCACACTAGCAACATGATCTGTTTGCATGGCATCCATAAATTTCCAAAACCAATTCCTGCTAAGTGGTAGAGCTTGCCTATTAAAACAGGTCAAGGTTCAGAATTTCAGTAACACAGACTCAATTTCAGGGGAACCTTCATTGCCCCAAAAATAACACTAAGAGAAGAATGAATCTGAAGAAATACCTCAATTTTGTCAGAAGCAGGGTGCTGACTGAGTACCAGCTGGTCACATTCCTGCTTAAGCTTATTGAGTTCTTTCTCCTTAACTTCCAGCTGGCTCATGCGTTTCTGTGAAAAGACAAGGGCATCGCTTCAAACAGAACTTTAAAGAGGGGAAAGGTCAACATGTACGATGTCATCTCACTATTACTATTCTGAAACCAGTATTAAACCACTTAATTTATACTGTGTCTGAAAATTTTCCTGCCTTCATTTGTAATGTTGTCATCATAACAATGGTCTTATTGAACCAAGAATTAGACCACCATTTATGCCAATTCTCCTTCCACACTGTATCAAACAAGTCCAGCCCATTTTCATACAATCCACACAATCAGAAAGATAATCAAAGAGCAAATTAAATATTCACTAATGCCAGAAGGTTTCAGCATTACCTACTTTAAAAAATAAAAACAAACACATGATGCTACAAAATTAAATCCAAGGTTGGGCTAGCAGAAGTCCACTTGCATAATCAGAATTTCTTCTGCTCTCCTCTCCTCTCCTCTCATCCCTGTAGCCCTTCAGGACTGCCCCAAAATCTGCTCCAGAGTTTCCAGTACTTCACAGTTTGAGGGCAAGTAGGAAGACGGAAATCACACGTCATCCCCCCCACCCTCCCCTGATGGAAACAGTTTTGAACTAGAAGGATGTCACAGGACCCAAGCTTACTGTCTACAAGTATGGGCTCTTCTAATTTTTTTATTTGTGTGTTTCAGTAACTCACGGAGAACGCTTCCTGCTTTCTTGCAATATCAGTGTTTCTATCACTCCAGTCATAGAGAAGCTCCTCCTCCTCACAGTCGTTGATCCACATGATTTCCCTGCTGGTTGCTTGGATGATGTTTTGCAACTGGCGCAGCTGATCCATTCTTTCAAAGGAGAATCTCTACAAAACATCACCACCAAAGTAATGAGATCCTTTAATTTAAGGACCAAAACAGTGTGGAAGGTCTGAAACTAAAAATGTGGCACAAACAAAAGAAACAGGAATGGAATTGGCAGTTAATATTGTTATCTGGCCACATGCAGGCTCTGGATTTGCTGCAATGATAAAAGGAAGTCAGACTTCTTTAACATCTTCACAAAAAACACAACTTATTCTGATTTTGCTAGTCACGGGGAAAGACAATTTGCCACAAAGGGTGATCTCACAAAATATTGTCCAAAAGTTTCCAGATACATTTATATAGTCATATTAAGGGCTAGTGTGTTATTTATTTCAAAGGAAAATGTAAGAACAGTCAAGTCCCAGTACCAGTGGATTGGACAGGATCCGTAGTGCTTCAAAGTTGTGGCAGAAAAAGTTTTCTACCCAAACAATTTATAATGATAGTCCTATTCAGGCATTCTCTCTACATTTTAAGTCATGATGGATAGAGAGGAGTGCTCTAGTGGGTCCCCATTGTTCTTGCTCTCCTATGCACACAGAGTGCCGACTATGAAAAAAGAGAGCTTCTTCACCTATCAGGATTCTTCCCATAAGTTAGAATGTAGGAGCAGCTTGAAAAAGAGTCAGGATGTCTGCACAGAGCTCTACAAATCTGATAATTAGGAATCTACTTACCACATTAATATATTGCCTCCCCCACCCGCCCAAAAGCTCTTTTATCCTCATGATGACCCTGTGGGTTTGAGAGATAGTGGATGCATCAAGATTGCTTACTGAGGTTTATGGCTAAGTGGGGGGATCTGAACCAAGGTCTCTCCTGTGCTAATCCAACTCTCTAACATACTATTAAGTGGGATGTACCCAAACAAATACTGCTCAAGAAACCCAGACTAATCCAGCTGGAGACCAAGATGGAAGAAGTGTTAAGCAGAAATTAGGTAGCTTCAGCACACATAGTTACTTCTATTTAAATTTGCATAGAGGAGGAAATGGAGTTCAAATAATTATTTTCTGGTCCAACGCCAGAGCTCTGATATACAGTGGTGCCTCACTTAACGATGTTAATTGGTTCCAAAAAAAAAACATCGCTGTGGGAAAACATCGCTAAGCGAAACACGTTTTCCCATAGAGATGCATTGAAAACCGGTTAATTCGTTCCAATGGGAACGGATTGCCGTCCTTAAGCAAAAATCCCCATAGGAAACATTGCTAAGCGAAACAATGTATCCCCCATTAGAATGCATTGAAGCCTATTCAATGCATTTCAATGGTTTTGCGATGTCCGTTTTTGCAATTTTAAGTGTGTCTTAAAAGGTTCAAAAACGGTTTTAAATGCTTGGGATCGTTAGTGTACCTTCTAAAACGTGTGCAAACATAATTTGGCTTTGTTCTGACTCTTGGTTAATTTTTGGTGAATTTTTTTCCCCCATTGAAATGCATTGAACCCAAGTTTGACAGCTGTCAAACGGGCACTTGAATGCATTCCAATGGGGGAGGAAAAATTCACCAAAAATTAACGAAGAGTCAGAAAAAGCCAAATTAAGTTTGCATACGTTTTAGAAGGTGCAATAACGATTCCAAGCATTTAAAGCAGTTTCTGACTCTTCGTTAATTTTTGGTGAATTTTTTCTCCCCCATTGGAAAGCACTGAACCTGATTTTGACAGCTGTCAAACTTGGGTTCAATGCATTTCAATGGGGGGAAAAATTCACCAAAAATTAACGAAGAGTCAGAACAAAGCCAAATTAAGTTTGTACACATTTTAGAAGGTGCACTAATGATTCAAAGCATTTTAAACCGTTTTTGAACCTTTTAAAACAGTGAAAACGGAACATCGCTAAGCAAAACAGGGGACCTAAAACTGTCATCGCTAAGTGAGGCAAGGTCCCGAACATCGCTATGCGAATTTTCCCCATAGGGAATATCGTTAAACGGAGCGCAAAATCGCTCCAGAAAGCTTATCGCTAAGCGAATACATCATTAAACGAGGCAATCGCTAAGCGAGGCACCACTGTAATCGATCTGGCAGCCAAACCATATACTGAATTTAGGGTTGCATATCATATAGAAAAGTCTCAGAGTACATTATACAAAATACTGACCATGCTGTGTAGAGGCTTTTGGAATTTGAAAAAAAAAACTTTTCCTAAACTTTGAAAAAATTAAAGGCTTTTAGTCTTCTGGAATCTCTATATAACTTTGTCTGGTGCTCTACTGTTCAGCACGTAACAAGCAGATTACAAGGCATTCAGAAAGCAAGTTGGTCTTTAACTTACCAGCAGATATTCAAACTCTTCCTCTAGTTGGTGAATAGCAGCCTTCTCACGCTGTGGACAAAGCAAAATAAGAAAGATCTCAGGCAGGGCTTGAAAAATTTTAGAATGTCACTAGTCAGTCAAATATTTCACCAGTCAGCATGTCCGGACTATAGCCTTGCAATTTATGTTAACAAATTTAAACTAGACACTTGTTCACTTTTATTTCTACGTGACAATGCGTACAAACCCAAGATAAATTGTATTACGTATACGGTATTCACCTATAGAAAATGCACTACTGTCAGAGGTGCTGCACTTGTGTCACCTGGGTGACCCAAGATTGGGAAACACTGATTTATACCCTCAGACTTGGGTTTGCTTTATTATCTGCATGCCTATGGGGTCATGAAGCTTGTATTTTGAATGCCTTTCTTTTTAACGTCTCCAGCAAAAATAAAACTGAAAGCAAAAGCGCCTGGCCCCTTAAGGAACCATGGTTCCCTCCCACCCCAGGATTTGTCCTCATTCCATTGAAACTGGGAGCAGGGAATCTCCATATTCTCCAGCATGGGATTACTCTACATTTTCCTGCAGAGCTATATCTCTATATGCTGCTCAAACTCTCTTCTTGCGAGAAGGCAGCAGTTTTCCTTTTGCAATGGGAGCGGGAAAGGGAGGACTGCAGGATTAGAGAGAGACAGGTGGAGGGAAAGGAGGCCGGCAGGCAGGGAGCTGTGACTCGTCGAGCAGCATTTTTCACTTGTCACAGACGAGTGCATTTTTCAAGCCCTGATCTCAGGGCATGGTTGGGAAAAAGAAGAAAGAAAATGAAGACTGGTGAGCTGCAGGAACTATGATAATCTGCCCTACTTCAGGGGCTTCTGCTGGAACTAAAAATTAAGACAGAATAATTTGGAGGCAATACTCTACTGCAGAGTCACTTACATCACTAGTGGGCAATGTGCAACCCATGGGTCATGTAAAGTCCTCCCCAAGGAGGGCAGTGAAATCTACAAACTTCCCCATAGACCCCCCATAGCCCAAAACAATGCAGAAAAAGAATACTCTAAAAATGCAAATTCAACCTCCCAAAGGCACAGGGGGTAACAAGTTGGCTTGTACGCTCAGTCGCAGGAGCAGTGCAAGCATGTTCACCTGAACACATTTACAAGCACCCTTCTGGAACTCTGTACTCATCATGCCAAGGACTGTCTTACATCCAGATAGGATGGGGATGTATGATCATCCTTTCCACGTGTCCCTACCACACCTTTAATCCTCCATGCTTTCAGTCATAATGCTTCAACATGGTTATAATCTAATGCTGGTTGTAGAGAATGCTTTGCCACTGGTCACAAATTAAACAATGTTAGCAATTCTAGAAAGCAGCAGCAGCAGATGTGTGCAATACGCTATTTTATGCAGCAAATTTTTTAATGAGCAAGGCACAGCAGGACTGAAACAAAGCTTTTTCAGAGTCCAAAGCTTAGAATACTTAAACAGCAATACAATCAGCAAACACCAAAGAGCAGGTAAACTATGCAGTAACAAAAGAATCAGAGAGACCAAAGCACTATTTTACCAGATCAGTTTTGATTTTGTCCAAGTGCCAGCGATAGTCACCGATGGCATTATGAAATTTTCTGTGGTCAATGATTTGTTGTTCGATAGCTGCTGCATCAAATCCCCATTTTACTGCCTCCATTTCAGCCTGAAGGGCAAAAAAGAAAAAAGAAGAACATTCATCATCATTTTTGCTTCTGTTATGCTTGTATCAATGTCTTGCTGACAGACAGAAGTATGCATTTCCAAACTGATTTGCAACTCAGACTTGGCTCACCTGCTACATGCAAGAATTTATAGTTTGAAAATAAAGTTCTGAAAAATTAAATGGGAACACAGGCTTCCTCAATCCCCTTTTACTCTACAAAGACAGGGGCATCTTATCAGGCTAAGGCCAGCTAAAGTGCAGTGGGAAAGTGAACAAACACAGATACCCTATAACCCCAGAGGCACCTGGCATACCTTGTCTTAGACCGCTGGTTCCCAACCTCGGGTAACCCAGGTGTTCTTGGACTGCAGTTCCCAGAAGCCTTCGCCACCAGCTGTGCTGGCTGGATTTTCTGTAAATTGCAGTTCAAGAGCGTTTAGGTTACCCAAGATTGCGAGCCACTGCTTTAGATTAATGAGGCAGCCTGAGATTCAAGAGACTGCATTACCTTTGCAGAGAAGGGATGTTATGGGATTTGTTTTTTCTAAAGCCTTCACCTCTACTCCCATCATGAGAGAACCATCGTATTTTATTAATTGGAAAATCAGAATATTAGCAATAATTTGATTTCAAATATTAAATACCTGGCTTATTCTATAAAGAAATTCACACAAACACAGAGTTCTTGTAACAGATGGGGATGCTGGCATTGAAATGCACACAATGCTTCATTATTTCTAGTGTACAAAATGTATCATCGTCTTTTTCTTCTACTCCCTGATGACCATTTTTGGAAATTACAATTTCATAGATGGGACTCTATGAGTGACATGTATTTTCCTTCAAGAGGCATTGGGCCTGAGAACAATGTTCTCCTCACTAGACTGCTGGCAGGTCTTTTTTTCATCAGGTATGAGTTTAAAAAAATATCTTAATGACTCAGCGCAGCAGTAATGCTACAACAAACAACACCCTGGGCCACACCTGGGCTTAAGCGAAGCTGGAACAGCTCCAAAAGTGAAGCCATTTTAGACTGTCAGCCATCTGGAAGCTGTATGAGACTATAGTCTCCCTTCCTTTTAGTTTGCTGGAAGCCCCAGCAAGAACCGAAGGAGGAGGGAGCAAGGGAAATCTATCAATGTGTGTGAACAGACACTGGGTGAATTCCAACTTCCTGCCCACCAGAGAAATCCAGTCCGGGTGTGTAGCCCACAACTCTCCTATCTGTCAACCTGACAGGAAAGTAAAACAAAGCACTGGCACAAAAACAGAAACTACCCTGTGGGACTTCCCATGTATAACATTGCAAGGGAATCCAGCAAAAAACCAACCAACCAAAACAAAACAAGTTAAAACATTACAAGGGGAAATATTCTTCTGTAGCTCTGTAATTTGAGCTTTGCTGGCAAAATACCAAGTCAGAGAAGGTCAACATAAGATAAGATAAAACAATTGGAGGCAACTAAGTAGGTAGGCCTATTTATCACAGGATCACTATACAGTAAGTCAGGCGGCATAAAAGGGCTTTCCATTTCCCCATTACTATTACAAAGCATACTGTGACAATGTGGTTTATCTGTCATCCTCCTGTGAGCCACTGCCTCCAATTATGACATCGCTTTTTTCTGGGATGTTACATTTGTGCTTAGTCAACTCCAGATGTAACCAGACTATACAGTCCTGAGAATGTTCTTGCTACAGCTGAGATACTGGCAGCCAATGTTTTGAGTGGGAGAGGGAGCTCCTCCTGTCCCTGTAAGGTGTCCTCTCCCCCATAAATTTTAGGCCACCAGTAAACAAAGTGCAATTTCTCTTACAAAAAAAAGCTAATGAAATTAACTTCTTCATTTTAAAACCTACACCAGGGGAGTTATTCCACAAAACCATCTTAAACACTAAATCAAAAATATCGTACTTTGACTCTTCTGCTCTGACATTTTACATTTTGTATCTAAAGCATTTCTCAGCCTTCTATAAAAAACCTATAAGGTGACTGAACAGCAATTTCTGCGAACAATGGGTTCTTCCACTGCCAAAGTGCTCTTATTACTCTCATGCTCAGTTAAGCAAAGGTAAGTCACACAGTGAGACACTATGCAACAAAATACACAGAGGTCTGCAGCCTGCTTTCCGTACCTTCAGTGTCACTGTCCCAAAGTTTTTAACAGAAATCAAGGAAGGCTGCTACGAAATCAACCAGCTCCTCTATTACTACACTGGCAGAATCATTTACAGGGACAATGAAGCAAATAATACATCATCTCCATGTTGGTTTAATTGTTGGTATTCAGAAAGTCTTCCAAAAGCTCACACATTAACTTTTCGCAGGGACAGGTCACAAGATGGAATGTTCCAATAATTCTTCAACATGTCCTTGGGTAAAGCGATGATCCAAACTAGAAGTAATGCTAAATGTAATCATATGCAGTCCCACCCATTCTTTTTGAAAAACAGAATAGCAGGTACAGAGGACAGGGGTCAGTAATCAGTATATTGAAGGAGAGGAGATAATTGAATTTTAATTTTCTCCCACTCTCTGTGCCACAGAAAAAAACATACCAGAAATGAAGCAAAATATACCACCATCCTGGAGTTCAAATACTCCATCTTGATATTCACATAGGTTTACCTTCTTCTGCCTCATCCAGTTCAGACAATCAGTAGTAACACGCCTGGTATATTCATCCCATCCTGATCCACTCTGCGAGGTATAGCCACCTTTTGAGCTAACTCTACGGGCACGGGGTGCGCTGATGGCTTTGTAGAGGGCCCGCATCTGCTCTTGAAGCTGAAGCAATCTGAAAGGAAACATATCAAGATAGGATAAGATTATCAAACGTTTATAATCCAAATGGGCCAGAGGGAAAGAATGAAAAATAGAAGACAATGTGTTCCATTATTTTCCACCACTATGGAAAGAAGCCTTATTCAGTTGTTATCTCTCCAGCTGTAATCAGCATGCCTACAGAAACAACTAACCCTTCTCTTCTCTTCTCATTGCTCCTAACTCCATGAGAAGAACAATTGATTTGATGAAGAAAAACTCCTGTTTGCATACAGGTTCTACACATGAACAAGAATTTTAGATAAATCAGAGTTCTTGCTTGCATGTAGAACCTAGGCATCCAGAAAGGTATGAACTAAAACAGGGTTTTATTCCACAGCACCTAATTAACAGTCATGGTCCAAGACAATATACTAGATCCAATAAGACTATCCAATGTCATTTTCAGGAATGTAATAAACATAGGTGTGAGTGAATGAATGTACACTGAATACATATTAAGACTACTCTAACTTCAGCAGGAATGGAAAGAGGAAATCCAAGGCATATATAGTCTTATCAGCAGTGTAACAATTGCAGGGAATGTGCTTCATAATTTGCAATACAATCATTAATGCTGGCATAGCAAGTGGTGACCTCAGCAAGTTTAACAAGAAGGCCACTTGACTCAATGGGAGTGTACTTGATAGAAGATTCCTTAAGTTATTTGGGGGTATTTGATTTCTGATTTAATAGAGTACAGTACCTACAAAAGGTCTGGTCGTAGTGTGGATGACTGGTCATCTAAATACTTTGCATGCTTTATCCATAGCTATTTGGAATAAGGTCAAGACATAAGCAAAATGGTGATACCTTTTCTGGTACAGGTCACATGGCTGCCCCATTTGTCTCATCTCTCTGATCAATCCATCAAGAATATCAATATATTCATTTGCCTGCCCAAAGTACTCCTCCAATTCTCGGTTCCTGCTGATCTGGATACCTTCCCCATACTTCAGTTCCTAAGGGGGAGGAAATAAAGCATATGCCACCATATTTTATTCAAAACGCGTTGCTCTCAAAACATGTACTGTAATAGTATTTGGTAAAAGAAAGAACCTAGGTTCAAGCTTCCTTGCAGTCAAAATGCATGGAACATTGCACATATAGATGTAGACAGACTGAGGTAAGATGTTCTTGAGATTCAACTCTTAAAGCACTGCAAGGTTTCAATCAGTAATGCAGGGAAGCCATGTAGCAACTACCTTTCACCATGTATGTAGATCCAAATATGGGCTAATTATTGTTATTACTACTGCTGCAATTCCTCTTCCCCTTCTTTTATCCCTCAAGTGTACCAAGTACAGAAACAGAAGTGAAAGATGAGAGGGTATGTGCTAAGAACAAAGCTACTGTCTTAACCTGTCTCAAAATTAATGGGAGCCATGAAAGAGGACCCAAAATCCTGGATGATTTTTGCCCTTTGTCTTCCTTATCAATTCACTCCAACTCATTCAGTATAACTAAAAATTAAGAACGCTGACTAATGGCAAGAAAGTTCAGTTCAGCTGAAGGCTACTGATGGCTGCTAATCATGACACCTATATTTTATCAAAGACAGAATGCTTCTGAATAATAGTTGCTGAAGAGTACGAGTTGGCAGGTGCTGCTGTCTTCACATTCTACTTGCAGGCCTTCTAAGAGCATCTCTGTGGTTGGCCATTGTGGGAAAGAGGACAAAGGATTAGAAGATGCTTTACTATGGTCCACTAGGACTCTCCTTATATAGGTATTTAGGAGACCTTTAGTGTAGATAATGAAACTTTAACAGTATTTCAACAGTGTTGGAGTATGGCTGTTTGGGGATATTTTTGTCTCCACCTGGCCACCAAACATTCATGGTAATACATGAACACTAATGGCGATGGGAACATGTGTGTCATGTGTATCAGGCAACCACATGTGTCCACTAACATCCCACATGTAGGCAGTTTAAAGTAGCTTCTTCAGCAGAGTTTAGGAACTTGTGGCCCTCCAAACACTCAGGTTCCCATTAGCCTCTACATGGGTGGTCAACGGTGAGAGATTACAGTAGTAGTTGTTATAGATGATCAACGTCTTGGAGTGGCAAAAGTAACTGACAGAAATCAAGTGAAAGAGAAAGTGAAGCCTAGCAATAACGGGAAAAAAGTTTGCAAAAATGAAAACATAAGTTCATTTGTTAATTTATTTTGACAGCCCCCTATCTTGACCCTGAGAGCTGGCAAATGATCACTTAGGAGTAGGGAGTTTGGTGATCAGCTTGATCCTCCTGGATCTGTTGCAGCTGTACTGTTAGATCAGTTGAGAGATCCTTCTCTTACTTATGTTTCTGGAAATAATCCAAAAATGAAAAGGGAGGAGGAAGCTGTGAGAAAAACCCAGTGAGTGGGCACCCAAAAGGGAGATGCAGACTTCCAAAAAGAAAAGGTGTGGTCCTATCAATTAAGAAGATGCATATAATGGTTTTGGGATAAAAAAAAACATTATTCTTCTCTGGGGAAAAGATAAATATGATATATGATCATGTTAGCCTGCGATGCAAGTCAAGAGAAGAGATGCCTTGGAGTTTCAGATATGTTTTGTACATCAGTTTCCCAAAGCCCCATCCAGCCTGATCAACAGCAAGGGGTTATGGGAGCTGTAGTCCAAAACATCTGGAAGATGGCAGATTTCCCATCTCAGACATGGGTACTTTAATAGAGGCCACAGCAGACTATTTACTCAGCTATCTGACAAGCAGAGGCTCTCTAGTATCTCGGGCAAAGCTCTCGCCCATGAGTTTCCATTTTCTGAAACTTTTTAAAAGAGGATATTCCAAGGGCTGGACCTGGGACTTTCTACATGTGCTAGAATAAAGTACAGTTACCTGCTAAACTTCTTTCTAACAAAGTCTCCCACAACACCTTTTGAGAGGGGATCTACATCCTCATGGTCTCATTCAAGGCATTGTGCACATTAGCATTTGTTTAAGTTCAACAGAAGAACAAGACTTACAGGCTGGACTATGAGTTCAGCACGCATGAGGCAATCAGAGCAGTTCTGCAGAAGCTCCTGGATGGTATTCTGACGCCTGGTCATAGTGCCAGTTCCATTTTGACTGTTAGTGTGGGGGAGAGAGAGAGAGAGAGAATGCAATCAACGTTATTGCTGGAATTACTCGTGAATCTCATTGACATTTTCCAAAGAAAGCAGCACACCTTACTTAAGTGGAAGTGTTGCAACCTGCATGGTGGCTTAATCGAGATCTACATGATACACCTGCCCCTCCCTTTTGGTCTCCTTGCCAAGCAATAATGCTGAGTCTGCAGCAGCATGAAAGCCACTGTGAGAACATGCTGAGAGATGAAATACCTGTCTGCAGTGTGGGTTCCTCCAATGAATCAAACATAAGAATTAATAGAAGAAGTACTTAGCCTTAAAAAAAATAGCTAGGGAAACACAGAGGATGTTTCAGTAAAGTCAAAATATTGCGATGTAAAATGCTTTGCTTCATTTCACTTTCTACACCTCATTCCAGAACAGGTATCTCCCTCATTCCCTTTTTTTTTTTTACATTATACTCCCCTTTTTTAGATTTTTGAGAAACTCTCACACTTCCCATCCTATAATCCCCAAATTTTAAATCTGTAATTTAAAATAAAAAAATAGAAATAGCAAAATTATTTTAAATTTAAAATGTATACAACCAGTTATTCTGGTTACAAGTAATTTTTAAAAATGCAGTCATCATATTTTCATTTCTTAACTAGAGCCACATAAAAATAATTTTCTTTACATGCAAATAAAACTGATACATTATTGTAAATGTAAATTTACTAATGTTAATGTAAGGATGAATGTTCCATTTGAAAGAAAGAAAGAAAGAAAGAAAGAAAGAAAGAAAGAAAGAAAGAAAGAAAGAAAGAAAGAAAGAAAGAAAGAAAGAAAGAAAGAAAGAAAGAAAAATTTGCAGCTATTGCTAAAGGTATTGCATCTTTCCAATGGATGTTGTAATTTGTTTTATTTTCGGTACTTCTGTTTTTGACATTAGGACTAACTCAGATGGTTCAAAAAAGGAAAAATGTTTTCAGGTAACTCAGAAATGACTTGTCAAGCAGGAGGGATACAGTTGTTCACAAAAGTTCAAGATTTTGAATCCCTTTGTGGATGATCATCTCGTTTTTAACCTGGTCCGCCTACTTAATTTTGGGGAATTATTGTCATATGGAAAGCCACTATTTAAAAATACATAAATGATTCATGTCCAGGTCTGACTGGATCAGTCTCCCAGCCACCAAAACCACTTCAGTGCTGTAATGAGCTAGTACAGTTTAGTGAGACAGCCAGGCTGATGCACTCAGGTCACGCACCCTTTTACTTGGCCTGTGAAGATAAAGTGGGCAACAGCGGAGCTTTGTATGCTTTTTGAACTTAATGGAAAAAGAGGTGAAATAAAAGTTGAATCAGCAAAGAAGCAACACATAAACATGGATATCTTATAGGAATGTTTTCATTCTGCTTCCAAAAACATATCAAGTCTTAAACTTGCCCATCAAACCTCTTTATTTTTAAACCATTTCTCAAATTCTTCCAGTGCTTTGTCCAGACAGAATCTTCCAAACTCCCTCAGATTTTCCTTGGCACCCATCTACGACTCACCGATCACCCCTAAGGAACTGAACTACTGAGGGGAAGTGAAGGTTAGAAGAAAGTGAAGACAAGTGTTGGCAGACTTGGCCATACAATTGTCTCTCACACACGTCATCCATGCACTACCCACCCCTGCCAGCAGAGAAGGTTGCACGCCTTCCTCCTCGGCAGTTTCTTCCAGAATTCGCTACAATATTTCTTCAGACCACCTCTGGTGACTAAGGTGGATGGGTCACACACGCATATACGTGGGAATTGCAGACAGCAAGGGCTGCCCCTATCACCTGCCTTCATCTCCCCATATCACCTATTTTCTTCCACTTTTTGGCACTCTCTCTTGAAATGCTTTTGCGCTATCCCCACCCTAGGTCCTTTCTTCCACATCCTTATGCCCCCCCCCTTAGAATGTCTTTATGTTTCCTTAGTGAGGGAGGCACACCCTCCACTTTGGGAAACAGTGATTTATACGATGTCAGCTGCCTTCCTCCACGTTTTATGTGAAATCACTGGCTGACCCCCTTAAGCTCTCATGTCAAATGAAGCCAAAATGCATATAACTGCATCTGTTTTCACTCACCATTTACTACTCTTGGAATTTCCTCCCTTTCCTTTGTTATCTCTTCTTCTAACTGTTTACATTTAGGAGCAGAGACTGGTCTATTTACCTACATTATACTACAAAACATCACTGACAGCAGCATCAAACTGAAGATTCTACTTAAGGTCATACCATCGTGAACCCTGTATCTCACATTTGTCAAAGCACATAGGATTAACTTTTCTAAGTCAAGCTATTAAGTGAGATACTAGCAGAGAATCAGATATGAGATATCTTGTCAAACTTCGAACAACCTACTTTTATTTAATAAAGTCCAGGTACTACAAAGTTTTACAATAAAGAAAGAGTAAAGCCAACAGAGATGTTTACCCAGTAATCCTGAGATTGGTATATCATGAGTATCTACAAAACATTAACTTTCATACTTGCAAATCTTAGTGTTACCTGGCAAAACTGTTAATACTATGTGAGTAGCTGCAACATGACACTACCTTGAATTATTTAGAGCCTTTAGGCATCTGAATGTTTCAGTTTCACAGGGTGGGGCCCAAAATAGATCCAAATTACCAGCTATGAACCTAGATATGTGGTGATAGTTCCTCATGTGCAACTGTCCTTCACAATCAGCTTTCTGCCAATTTATATAAAGAAATTAAGGAGTCCCTATTACGAGATCAAAACATTCTCTGTTAAGTGAATCGCAGTGTGATGGAATTTCCAAAAAGCTAGTCTGTAAGTCTTCTGAACTAAGGGCAATACACACATATTTGTTTATATGACCTGGAAAGGGCTATTAGCGGGATGACCCTTCAGAGATCATTAATTCAAAGGGTCAGCATTAAGTCAGAAGCAACTTGGTGGCACGTAACAACAACATGGCCTGGTATAAAACACACAGATCGGTATTTTAACTGCATCACTCTGAAAGACATGGAAAGGGATCTAATCTAGCATTCTCCCCTTTCATCTCTATTTTCTATTCGCAATAATAACCTTTGAAATTGTGTATGTTCTGGGAATATTACTTTCAATTATAAAGCTCCAAAGTACGTCCTAGAAGTGGTAATGCCAATGGAAACAGCTTTGTTAAATTAGTCTATTTAGACTCAGATTCTAATAAACTAGATTGATGAGGACATTCTCACTAGAATGTGAGAATGACAATGTTCCTATACAGAAGTGATGGTAGAAAGATAACAATATGCTGGCAAAGGGACTAGTTTGGCCATCTTATTTTCCTAATGTACCGTAATTTTCGCACCATAAGATGCACTGTTTCCCCACAAAACAGGGGGGTGGAAAGTCTGTACGTCTTATGGAGCGAAGAAAACAGATTATATTTTCCTGTTTTCTTCTCCTAAAAAATTGGTGCACCTTATGGAAAGGTGCGTCTTATGGAGCAAAAAATACGGTATATTTAATTCATGCTTTAAACAAACAAAGTCTCTGTGTTAGGTAGCTTTACCAGCACTCATTTGGCCACACTAAGATCCAGCCAGAGATGCAAGCCAGAACTAGTTGATTATGGGTGAGGTGTTGCATACTCGGAGCCACACCTCACTGGTGGGATCGGAACTCCAAAACAAGCTCAGGCAATTTCCCATGTGGAAACACCAGTCATTCACACAGATGCCTGAACAAAGCAATTTCCAGGGAAGTAACTAACTTCCAAACTTAATTTAGCCTGCTGTGTACTGCATTCACTTATACTGATTTCTAAGCAGATGCAAAAGACCAACTCTATTCCGTTTTTCACATGAGTACTTTTCATCCAACAGCTTCAATGAGCTTGCGTAGACATGCATAATCTACACTAGAGTTGGGCACGAATTTTTAAAAATTGCAAAATTTGTCAAAAATCACTAATTTGTTGATTTGTATTCATTCAAAGCGATGCCCTGATGAATACGAATAAATTAATTATTTTTAGTGATTTTTTAAAATTTGTTTGGCTATAAAACAGGCCCCGAAATACCTAAAGACATCAGAATTTGAGAGAAGCGTCTCTTGACCTTCCTGTACAATCCCTCCAAGTTTGGGTTTCAGATGTCCAAATTATACACCCAAAAATAGCACCCCCAGGAAAGTTATTCCCAGGCACCCAGTGATGCCAAAATCACAGAGAAGCTTTCCCTGACTCTCCTCTACAATCTCTCCAGGTTTGGTGAAAACTGGGCTTCCCCAAGCCCACTGCTAAAGGGCACTTTCCTGGGGTTTTTCCATTTCATGGGTGTATAACTTGGATGTCTGAAACTCAATTTTCACCAAACTGGAGGGATTATAGAGGAGAGTCAGGGAAAGCTTCTCTGTGATTTTGGGTACCTCTAGGTGCCTGGGGAGAACTTTCAAGGAGGGGCTATTTGTGGGTGTATACCTCAGACATCTGAAGCCCAATCTTCACCAAACCTGGAGGGCTTGTAGAAGAGAGTCAAGGGAAGCTTGTCTGTGATTTTGGTGTCTCTAGGTGCTTGGGGAGCGATTTTATAGGGTTTTAAATGCATAAAAATGAATCGACAAATCAATTCAATGATTCATCAGAAAAAAAATCATAAATACCTAATTCATGATTCATCGAACTTGATGAATCACAAATTAAAATAAATTGCCATTTTACCAATTCATGCCCATCTCTATTCTACACTGAACAATGAGCAATTTAACTCAATTGTGACAATAAGCCCATATGAAGTACCAACCAAATCACATCAGAAAACAAAACTCTGTATTCAAATGCAATATCATTAGACCCATGCTTCATCATAATTAGCATGAAACCAATGGAGCTTGATTTGACTAGTTCTGCTTTAAGCAAGACTAAGTTGCAATCTAACCCAATACTTTTAAAGTTAAATGTTTGTTGATTTTATGGTATGCTTTCCAATAGCACAAGCTGCACATTTGAATCTATG